ATCTGTGCGACATGGATATTGACTTTTTTATTTAGCACCGAACCGGTTGTGTTGTCGGCTGCCTGCGCAAGCTCCAGGCGTGGTCTTTGACCCTTATTTTCGACGAATACCGTCGCTTCGCCGACCCCAAGAGCCGCGCGCTCGACCAATTGAAAATCGAACTGTATAAGGAAGAAGCTTGCATGGGTATTGCAAAGCAATGGGGTTGGATGCCGGAAATTATGATGACTGGCGGTGGTTGCTCATATCAGGAATGCACTGACGGGATTGGTGGATGTGGATGCGGTGGACTAGAAGTCCAGGCTCTTTAACTTCCAATCTCGGAGGTTTCGTTTAAAAGCAAAGATTTGTTTCGAGATCTATGGGGAAATCTGGGGAAACGGTTGTTTTTCTGGGTAACCACACTTCGGATTTCAAAACAAGCTGGAAAAGTTCATTTCTCATTTTTTGTTTTGCTTTCCTTTTCTTTTGCCCTTTCACATTCCCCTGGGTTTGTGGGGTGGACAGTTTGCCTTTGTACAGTGGGCGGCATTTTTTTCTTAGACCCCAATTTGCTCCTTTTAAAGGGAGCAAATGGGTTTTATTTCTTTTTCACGTCACCGCGAGGTGACGTTTGGGGTTATATTTGGGATTTTCTTTCGGGTTTGATGGTTACGTTGGTTCTGGAGTTATTATTTATTGGTTATTGAGTTTATTAGAGTGGCTATGGATATGGTTCTGGGGGAAAGTGTTTTCTCTGGTGGATAGGTGTCCTGCGTGTCTTCTCTTCATTACTTTTGTACCACGGTTTGAGTTCGGGTTTGAGCACAGCATACAGCACAGCATACAGTACGGCATACAGCAAGCAGGGTTGTCTCGAGAGGGTTCTGTACAATTATTAGCAACCTATTGCATTTTATACACCCTTCTGATACTTGTGACGAGTTAGGATCGGGAAAACAGAATAGGATCGTCCAAGCAATGGTTTTTTTGAAGTTTGTCGGCCTCTGATCGTGGGGCTTACTGGTTGCGTCAAATCTTTCTCTCGCGTGACCAAAGATTCAGCATGGAAATTGAGTTCTGATCTCTCGGAGGAAAGCGGAATGGGATCAAAAACTCGTCATCAAGTGTTTTTGGTGTTTTGTTGTCAATAACACTATATGTCTTCTGGGGGATAAGTGCTGGAACAGATGAAATTGTTTCCGATAGTGATACAACATTTGAAGCTACGTCGTTCTGTCCCTATCTTCTCGACTGTTTTTTTCTCGAGGTTGCTGAATCAGCTGATATTGCAATCCAAGTCTGCACTGTTCCGGCGGTCTCGGTTTTATTTCATTGGGTTTCAGCGATCTGTTCTATGCTTACTTTGCATGCTTGCTTCACCGTTCCTACCGTTCCTGGCCATTCGGGCATTGTATCCCTAAGCCTTACTATATGAACTAACCCCCCCAAAATCAAATCAACAAAAACGCATGCAAATTAACCCCAACCCACTAACTACACTGTCTTCCTTTTTTTCGGGAGGTTTAGTGAACACCATGATTCATCGACTTCGCTTCCAAGGCTTGCCGCGGCAGGTGATGATAAATACATTTGTAGATGTAGTAAAAGCTTTCTCGCGGGGGGACCTTCTATGGCTCTCACGGACAACGAGTTTCTAGGACCATGTGATGTAAACGGCTACTACACTACAACCTAGTGTCTTCCTTGGCCGAAACATATTCACTTCTTTGGTGCTGTAACCTGGTTACGCACATATCTGGGACCGGGTTGTCGGTGAGATTTTATGGTAGGTTTAGAGTAAGGTAGGACCAAGGCAATACTAATGAGGTCAGAAGTGAATTTATATGCTTGATTCTTTTAAATACAGTCGTAATATAAGAAATTAAAGAAAAGGGTATATAATAAACCCTAACCCTAGTGGTGTGCCACCACTACAGCCTTGTTCTATGAGCTCTTCTCCTCCTTGGGCCTCGACGTATTAAAGTAATAGTTTCCGTGAGTGATTGCGTTTACAGCTGAAAAACCTGCGACACCCAGCGGTAATGGGTTCCGCAGGCGTACTAGCTGCTTTACGCTCTTGCGCACACCATTTACCATGAGGTAGAGGAATGACCAGGCGGCGGTGGTACCGGCGCCGTCAATTGGTGCATGGTCGTAGGTCATCCAGCCTCCTAGTGCCATGGTGGAGGAGAAGAGGAGGAGGGTCCATGGCCTTGGGAATAGTTTGGCGTTATGTTTTCGAGCTAAAGGAAGCTGTGATAGGACTACATCGTGTCAGATGAATGGCTTTTTTTTTATTTCAACCCCATGTAGTGAGGGGGGGAGGAACGTACCAGCTGCGGAGAAAGCCCATGCTGGAAGAGGGGACTCTGTGGGGTTGCGGCTCTGTTGTTAGTTTGGGGAGACCCCATTTAGGTGGGTGGGGTAGATGCATACCAGCGTAATCTCGACCGTGAGAATTGAGGAGAGATCGCGCTTGGTGGAGGATTTCTGACATGTCTGAATATAGGGTTTATGGATTTTGTATGAGTTGGGGTTGACCAGATCTACTTTTGTTTGCTTTTCGCGGGCCAGCCGTTTACAGGTGCATATGATGTCATTGGGAGGAGATATTCGTAGTTTGGCGCGGGTGTCAGACTTGGAGAAAATTAGCGCCGTCGGATTAACGTTGTTCCTTAATCTTGGGATTGACATCCAACCACGTCCTTCATACCTATCAAGCGAATCAGGGGTCGTTATCTTCAACATCCACGAACGAGCCTTATCAAAAATTAAAGACATCAATAGAAGACCAGGATCACAATTCGCCCGCCTATCAGGGTTTTGCTAGTGACTGTTCTTGGAACCTCTTGCACATTCGATAGACAGCCCTAAGGCGCCAGGAACCAAGAATCATATGGATCGATAATAAGGCTATAAATTCACCAATCTCTACCAAACTGCCGTCATCGCACTATTTCATCCTTACTTCACCGGTCTTTTTTCAAGCGTTTTCATTACTGAGTCTCCTAGAGTTACGTGGCTCGCGGGTCTAGAGCTCAACCGTGATTCCTGATCATTTACAGATTCCTTCGATTCTGCTGTGATCGAGGAAGTTGAAGTCTGTGCCCTCAATTGCCACGACACAGAAGGTTTAAATTCACTCTGAATACTTCTCGGGCCCTAATTGGACTCTTGTATATCAGGCAAGGAAGCTACCCGGGTCGAGGGGAGCATCAAACATAACCGTGGCGCGAACCTGGGACGGGCCGAAGATAAACACGGGATAGCTTTCTGATCCCGCCCAAGAACCCGATCACTCTAGGGTTCTCATCTCCTGCAGCAAGGAGAAACTGGAGAATTGACATGTGATAAAGAGATTCTACTCGACACGTTTTTTAAAATGCGCAGATCATTTTTACTGGGGCCAACAACGTTGGCGTTCTGGGCTTCTAGCCTCAATTGAACGACAACTCAGTTAACCATTGGAAAAAGTCTAATTGACAAAGTGATCCCGCATTGTATGCGGTGTACTGTTCTTTGGATCGTTTTGGAAAAGAGGGATTTGATAAGGTCAATGGGAGGAAGGAAATTTGTCAATATCAAAAAAAGCCAGTGTTTGCTGTCTTACCAATGTTTTTTACCCGTTCCACAAGGCGCAAGCCGCAGGACTTAGGTACCCTTTGCTCTCGATCGAGATCATGGGCTAAGCATTTATTCCGTGTCTATCAAAAAAGGACCCCGTACGTACGTACTCCGCTGAGTTCCCTGCATAAGCCCTCCACTCATCTCAAACATGACATGATGGGGCATAAAACAAGATCTTGATGACTTGCATCAGCTGGACGCCTCTCCAGCACGATATGTACGTATCAGACTAGTCGACTATATTGAGATGGGCGCATCAGTCTTCCCTTGGATCGAACAAAATGGTAACGGATCAGAACCGGACATATCTATGTGAGCCGGTCGGTCCGCTGCGAGGGATCATTTTAGCCTATGCACACGTGAATGGTGCAGATTTTGGGAATTGGCCATTTGCGACGCAGTTAGAGAGGTCATTTGTGCCAAATGAGTGGGTTGGTTATAACAGCGATATTCCTGGGGAAAGCGGAGTGTAACATCTGTTTGGCTGGGTGAATCAAAATGGATTGCAGGTATTTGTTTACAGACAACGTTTACTATAAACAAAATCAATCGCTCACAAGTTACACGTCCCTGAGTTCTGGCAATTGCATATCGTTACTCTACATGGACACATACATACTAACGCTATTTGGACCCTTTTTTTTTTTTTTTTTTTGCCTGTTGAACGCTGCTAATTCAAGACACGTTGGCTAAGAAACGTTGAGACATCTGGAAGTTATGTTCAAGGATCGCCTCGATCGGAATGTATTACTGACATCTTTTTGACAGCTTAATTTCAAAAAACGTTACCATCCCGGGGGGAGCTTGCAGGAACTGGGTGTGCGAATACAGGTATTCTAATGTACACAGGCACCATTATGTACAATCTATCCGATAACGTTATCTTTGCGGATGCGGACATGCAGGTCAAGTCCAACCCATGTTCACAGCTAGTCACTCGAGCATCACCGCTGTCATTGGTTCGTCACTGAGTTTATACATAGTAATTACTCATCGAGTTTATTCCGACCCTCATCTCATTAAACGGAGGCGCTATGATAAGATCAAACTGTAAAATCGGAACTTGGGCCTCTAGGTAATGGCACCTAAAGTGGAATAATATCTTACTAATATCTAGCCAAGGCTTGTGATTAACGCTCGTGATATTTGATATTGACTGTAAGTGATTCGGGTGACCAATGGGAGTTCACTCACACCCACATTTGTTTACAGAGGCTCAAAAAGCAAGCTACGAATCTAAACGTTAGCACCCCCCGCCAAGATCACAGATCACTGTCGGGTCCGTGCACTTAGCGCCAATCTTGAGCCTCACCTATTCATCCCGCCTAAGATCTCAACCGCCGACATCTCGCAACTCGACATCACGCGAGCATATATCAACTCCAGTAACAATGTCAGGATCAACTACAACACCAAGACGCCCACCGAACGTTCCCTTCTTTCTAGTTCCCCCAGAACTATTTTCAATAGTCACAGATGCTGCCCCCTTCCCTATCTACCGTTGCTCCAGTGTGTCCCCCGAGAACCGGCCTTTTCTTAAAACGTATAGACCTCCCCACTTAAAAAGCAATTATATTTGCCAAATTTTCAATTTGCTGACACAAATGGGGGATTTTGTGCAGTTTAAATCTTAAAACCATACTATCTCTTACTGCCGAGAAGCCCTCGAAGCCACTCCGCGCCATATCGGAGGAGCAGAACTTGAACTTGGTCCACCTCGGGCTCTGGCAGCCTCGCAACCTGGAGGCTTCCCAGCCATTATCAAAGAGTGCGGTTGAAAAAACGTTACAATTACTCACTACCGACAACCTACCGGCATTATTGGTGGACGGAGGTCATGGGATTTTTGTGGGCGTACTGAGAAAACTCATGGGATGGAACCATACTAGTATCATTCTAGAGTAGTGAGTATCCTATAGGTCCCGAATATCAGCTATCATGAACGGGAATAGAGGAGGAGGTAGTGGTAGCTAATGGGACGCAGTCGGTCCTTCGCAGGCAACCATCCGAGATATGGAAATGAGGAGTTTATCGAGATGGTTGACACTTCGCGGATTAATATTCCCGAGGGAATTGAGTTTCTAACTTGGCACGGTCCTAAGAGCAATGAAGAGGACAAAGACGGGGAAAGTGAAGGAGAGGGAGAAAAGAATAAGGGGGAGTCAAAGGATGTGGGGGTTGCTAGTCGATCTCTAGCTGAGCTAGTTAAGAAATAATTGCCGAACTAGCCTAGTATCTATATACCCAGGAATGTTTTCTTATCTAAGCTTCTACTTCAAGTTTTCAAGTTCGAGCATAAACCTCTTCCTTATTCCTTTTTTATTGTACATAGAAAGAATCATATTTTCTCTTACCGAACGCCGCCGGCCTACCATTGCAATTTTACTTCTCCAGAAAACATAAATATCGAGTGAGTTAGTGATATATATACCTTTATCTTGAGCTAAAGAAAAAGGAATTCCCCATTCCATAGTGCAAAAATACTCAGGACAAATGCAGCAAACACCAGCATTTATCTATAACTACTTTTTATTCCTTTTCTCTCTTGGCTTATCCGCGTCAACGTCTTCCATCTCACTTCCTAACTCATCCTCTAGATCCACACTTCCCTCGTCCTCACTCCCCATATCCTCGCTCCCCTCCGCATCACTGTCATCATCATCATCATCATCACTCCCCCCTTCGCTACCACTGCCTACTTCCTGACCGGGGACATAGTCCTCCTCCTCCTCGTCCTCAACATCAGCCATGGCCTGTTCCAATGCACCCTCATCCCCTTCTTCACCATTGACCTTGAACTCCTTTGCTCGTCTTGCTTCGGCCATAGATGCATCGTTGAGCCGGTTCTTCTTGATATAGGTGTCGATACCCGTATATTCCTCCTGGTCGATCATGCCAAACTCGATTTCGTCCCCTTCAGGGGAAGATTGGGTGGCGACATGGATAGATAAGTTGAAGGTACGTTTGGTAATTGAGGTATAGGAGATTGAATTGATTGCCGCGAATGAGAAATAAGCTAATGGTTTTCGGAATGCCCAGACAATGCCGGTACGGAGGAAGAAAAGGTAGCCTGGTGATAGGTTATTAGCTTATACATACTTGAAATGTCAAGAACACTAGAGAAAAAAAATACCATCTTTGCTCCCACGGTGAGCCTTAACATGGAATGCCTTTTCACCCTTCCGGTGAGATTGGGGTAAAGCTGAGTAGAATACAGCCTCGACGGGCTCCTGTACCACGGCGTTTGATTTGGAAGCTTTAAGGAGCGCGTTGAAAGAGTCAACCAGTAGTGACTTATAGCTCGTTGTGTCAAATCCGCGACCCATCCCATCTCCAGTTGCGGTCTTGGGTGCGCTGTCCGGGATTGTGAAGACCAAGGCGTCTGCATTCCCGTCTCCAATACCTTCTGAGCCTTCGGGGAAGACACAGAAATTCCATTGGCGCGCTGCTTTGTCCGGGACTGGAAGACACGATACGTATTCTGTGACGCACCATTAGCTGGCTATTATATCGGGGAAACAAGGGGTAGGTAACTAACTGATGTTATCCCATGAAACTCCGAATTCCGTCACCCCCGAAGCAGCACCAATAGCGCTCATGCCCCCTTCCGTAAGTGCCAAGGTGAACTTCTTCCTTTGTGGAACTGAAAAGCTAATCTCTTTAACGAGCAATACTTCTTTTCCAGCGAATGTGGGAGCTTCAGCTTCATCGGCGGAGACATCATTAGAGACTTTCCGCTTCTTGACTGAAGGCTCTGGAGATCGGTCTACTGGTTTCAACGTGATGATGTATTTCCCAATGTCGTGAAGGAGAGTAGAGTATTTTGGGTCCTTTGCTATAGGTGATAATGTTAATCAGCTATCTCAATGAGTTGAGAAGGGGGGTAGGATAGTACCGAGAGCATCGCGGACGGAGGTGTTTAGGGATTTCTGTGTAGTGGTGGGGAAAGCTTGGTCAATCCAAGTGGTATCGGATAGTGATAACGCAGCCATTTTTTCTTCCTGCTTTTTTCTAGGAGGCATTATTGTTGTGAGTTATTTCTTGGCGGGTATAATTTTTTTCTTCTCGTGGACCTTGCTTTTGGTGATGGTGAGTTGTTGAGTTTTTGGCTGAGGTTGGTTGGTTGACTGTTGGTTGGTACTTTAGGGGAAGAACTGACTACCAGTGTAAAGAAGGTAACCGCGAGTGCGCGCTTGAGTGCGAAGAATGTAGGGGGAGTCCTGTGATAGGGAGAGAGTTCACACGTGTTGATAAAGATGGGTACACGGACCGGGGGTTAATATATGCGTATACACTTGGAACCGTGTGGACTTTGATGCTGCTTGTGCCGTGACGGTTTTTGTTTGTTTTTGGTTTGATCAGCCTTGTCGCGGTCGAAGGAGCCTCGTGGTTATTTTATCGCCACGCGATAGGTATATTGATCATTGCAGGTATCTTGTATGATACAGGAATCAGGTGCAATGCAGTGCCATGCAGTAAGACAACTGCAAAGTTGCTAACAATTGCTCTTTAGAAGATAACTACATGTAGATGTAGACCGCAGTCTTTGATCATTCTCAGTCTTTGATCATTCTCAGTCTTTAAGAAATGAGTTGATTCTTGATAAGCTGAATGTAGATTGTTAGCACAAAACAAATTCAGGGGGTCATCTTTTAAGGTACAGAAGCTATAGAAAGCTTGCTTGAAGATCATTGTTCTCTAACACTGGAGGTTGTTGATCATTGATATATATCACTTAGGACTTTTTAATCTAGATCTTGTACGTTTACCAAACTTCTTTTGTGATCATAAAATTGGATACTCATAATAGATACATCATTCTCAGTACCACAAACTGGATACTACATTGATCTAAGCACGGTGATATTAGCACAGTGCTTGGTTCATCTTTACATCTTGTTATCCTATTACGTTCTAGTATCCACTTTCGTTTATGTAATGCCTGCAGGAACAAGATTCTGGTCAGTCACAAAGCCCATTGCCTCTAAAGATAAGTAAAAGGGCCTTGAAAATGCGCTAGAACATAAGATCACTTGCAACCGGCTGATGCAATACTGCACCCTAGGCCTCATCCACGAGGGAATAAGTTTTCTTATGATATCAAATTAGGATCATCGAGTGTACTGGCTTACCCCACACAAATAAAAGTAACTGCAGGCTCATTTCCCACCTATTTAGAGATCGTTCATTGTGAGTTCCCCCTGGGCGTATGCGTGGTATGTAGTTATTTCGTGGGGCTTTTCGAAATATCGGATTGAAATTGGCTTCGATGGGTAATGTATTCCACACCCTGCAGCTCGAAAATGAAACTGAACAACGGGGCATAGATAAAAGCGCGAGCTCGAGGAATATATAGGGAGTCGGGAGCAACATAATTCCCCGTACACACACACACACACCAACTAGCTTGTGTATGTGGCTCATAACACCTAGTCATAGACCAGTACAAGACGCGGACTGATAGAAGCATTGGAACCTCTCATAGGCCGCATCAGTACCCATATATACTCAGTCTATCCGAAAGTCAGGTTTAGGCTAACATAACTTAAATCAATATACTCCAGTCAATTTTGAGCTTATATTAAGATATATGTTTGGTCGAGCTCCACATACCCCAGTCCCTATGATCGTGATATAAGGGGTTCAAGGTTTTATTCCCTCCGAAGGGATAAATCCACAAGACGGAAGCACCCAGACGTTTATACTTTCAGAAGGAGACTATATATAAATATGATCCCGTCGCGGGTCGTGAAAGATAAGCAGCGATTGTCGAGCTCGAGAGAAAAGTGGATTGTCTCGATATTTCACCCAGTATTCAGAACCCCTCAATGTTGACATCGTAAGCTTTATATGCATAGATAGTAATTAGATATTGCCGCATAGTATATAATAAAGTTTAGATTATTAAGTTATAATCGTACCTTGATATCTGGAGCATTGAACAATTTAGTTAATCACAGATTATCACTCGATACATCTCTAAGAGTAGTATCCTTAATCAGTTGTAGCTTTGTCCCTTCGCATTTGACGGTCAATTTAGAATATATTCTGGGTGTTTTCAATCAAGTGATTGTATTTACATACTCTCCATACATCAGGTCCAAGGAATAAGTCGTCGAAAATGACAAGGAAGAATGTGTATGCATGTCGACTTCACTGTAATCATCGAGTCGTCGGGCACCTTCCAGGATGGTGGCGAGCAAGTCGCCGTGTATGATGGATGATGTGTGTGCCCTCTAGATCTGTATATAATTGTATTTGACTGAGGGGTGGGGTGTGGAATTTTATTTATGCCTTGACAATAGCCTGCATTCAAAAACTTATATCGCGATGTAATATTCCCTGGAGACACTTCATAGAGCTGCCTCACGCGCGTGCATATTCCCTTTTCTCTTAAAACGCCCACGAATACTCTGTGGGGTAACATCAAAAGGTTGCATTTCTTAGCTAGAAGATGGGAGGGTTCTGACGGAGAAGGCGGACGCAGAGCTCTGGGAACTGGTTGCACTTAATCTTTGGGCCGGGATCTATCCCTTCCCTTACTCTTTGTTGTGGTGCAGTTGATCTAGGTTAGGGATACCGATGGGATAGCCTAACTGGGGCTCATTACCTGGGTCGCTGGCCGCCGCAGCGTAGCCCATGTGGAGCCTTGATGTGACTGGGCTTGTGAAAGCGTAGGAAATAATAAAACATCAGGCCGGGGTCGCTAGTCTTAGTAAAACGGTCTCTTGTGTATTAGTACTTCATCCGGGGCCGGGGGTGACAGAGAAAAAAGACCAAATCTCAAGGTACGACCTATATTTTCTCTGCGCAGGTACAAATCTGTGGTAGATTTGACGTTACCCCAAGCCTCAGATCTACTTTGCCTCGTATGCAAAATTATGCGTAAAATTAACTTCTTCGTTTCCCCCAAGGTAAATATATATATGCATGCATACATGTAGCTACAGATGTATCTTGACCTCTTTGCGTATTGGTAATTGATATTCAAACCTAAATAGAGGAGTAAATAAAACTAAAAGAAAGACTCGGTTAGATCTGTAATGCCTGGACTTTGGGGTTAAAATAATCGATGACTTTACTTGTAATTGGTGATACAAAAGTCCTGAATCGATCACATGACACCATGGCCACATATCTTCTGAGAATCGTTTTAGTGGAAGCTTTGACGGCTACATGTACATACATGTGGCTACTCTTGTGCTACATGCATGTATATGTACTCCACTAGCCGATCCGGAAGCTTTACCAAGTTCACTCTCCGTCCATCAAGCTTGCTGGACAGGACGACCCGTCCCGAAGCCCCATATATATGAAGGTGGCCCGTTTGTCAAATGATTTTTAATTGCCTCGTTCTTCGAGAAAACATGTTCCGGCGCTAGGATTCTAGGAATCCTTCGGTGATAATAGAAACACCGCGGCCGTAGAAAAAGCAATCTATGAAAACACTCCCAAACCAAGCTACGTGTGCAAAGCTTAATTCTAACACATTGAGAACATGAGGGAACCGAAGATTTTGAAATGTCAAGAATTTCGTCTGTGCAATGGAGCAGTCCAAGGGACTGGGTTCGTCCTTGGATTGGGTTCGTTTGTCCAGCTGAGAGCTCTATAAAAATTCGGCAGCTAGCATCTAGCGCCAGTACCAAACTTTTTTTTTTTAAATGATAGGAATTTCGATTCAGATGAGAAATGCAGGTTTTTTTTTGGAATGGTTGGTGTACGTTTAAAAATTGAAAGTCGCTAGTTCTCAAGTCCCAATGTATCAGGTGTAAAGTTCACGATGTTGTGTGGTGTTGAGTCTGGGCAAAAGTGAAGAGCTCCACTGCTAGCATCTTCTCCGTAAGCCTGTAAAGAAAAGAAAAGAAAAGAAAAAAGAAAAAAGACGAAGAAAAAAGCTCTAAACCCCACAATAAACAAGGACCCTGATCTAGAACCCTAAGAATCGAACCGAACCATCCCCCATGATCCGCAAACCGCATGACTAATCCCTCTCAAGCGGGCATTCAACCAATCCAAATCGATCTGATAACGGCTTACTCAATCCACCCTGATTATCCTTACTCCCTCACACCCGGCGGGAACGAGAAATTTTCGGGTTATCCACCGTTCCCGGATCTACCCCGCCCCGGTCCAGAATATTCAACTGAAACCAAACTTGTTTAAACCCTCTCACCTTCCCCACCAACAACGGTTTTCCATAGATCAGACCTCTCCCCTCGCTTTTACCCCAGCGCCATCAATCCCACCACCGCGGGTTTCAATTGCAACAACTCTCTACTCGAATAACCATGCCTCCATTGTCTATTGCGAAGTCCATCGTCGCCAGGCCTTGGTTACAGCGCGTCCTCGGCCCTGTAGCCAACAGGTACGCTGATCTCGCTGGATACCGTCAAATCGGACTTGTGTATGTTGCCCCCCAAATCTCAATATATGTATATTTTGAGAACGCCCCGCGGCTAATATGGAATAGCGCCGATGATTTGATTGTGGAAGAGACCGATGTTGTTCAACAGGCGATCAAGAGACTGCCCCCTAAGGTCGCCTACGATCGTATGTTCCGTATGCGTCGTGCTGTACAGGTATGTATACTTATACTAGTTCATCACTTACTCATAGCTTGAGATTGGCTGCTGATTGTATCAACTTTATAGTGCTCGGTTGCCCACCAGATCCTGCCAAAGCAGGACCAGACAAAGCCCGAGGACGACGTCCCCTACTTGCTACCCTACATCGAAGAGATTGAGGCCGAGTTGAGAGAGAGGAACGAGCTCGACTCGTTGGCAAAGGCGAAGTAATGGGTTGATTGAGTTTTGCGGTGATAGACCAGTAGGATGGTTATATTGGATGTACCGGTGTTATAGAATTGAGGGTAGAAGCTGTAGGGGGAAAAAGTTGATACCATACCTGCCGAATGAAGATTTTATCTTTTTATTCGGTGTTTCTGGCTCTTTCAATGTCCCTTTTTTCTTCTTTTTTTTCCTTTTTTTTCTCTACCTCTTGCTTTTCTGGATTTTGGAAAAAAGAAAAAAAAAGCTATTGTATAGTGCTTTCTGCTCGCTACTTTCCGAATATGCAGCTGGAAGCGGGTCTTATAGATAGCCTTGAGGGGAGCTTTTGGGAGTTTTTGCATCATCCAGTATTACTCTGTCTGGAATTCTCAATTTACAGAACAGCATCTTTCGGGTAATAATAATTTGATCGTGTGCCATCACTCTCTGTTTCATGTCACGGGCTATGTTGAAATCAGAAACTTTTATCATTGACAATTCTTCTATTTTACAATATAGTTAGTATTTACCAACTAACTACAATTCCAATGCCTTCTTGGCCAGTTCGAGCGCTCCCTCAAAGCTCTTATTACCACCGATGAACCCGCTGGCGTGAACAAACACACCACCAGGAACTCCAGTAACCTCGCTCAAAGCATCATCCCTGATACCTCTCCATGCGGCCGGCAGAGCCTTACGGCTCTCGAACGAGTCCTTGCTTACTGGCACGGCCTGAACCCTCCAGTTTTTTTCAGGGCCCTCGCCATACAATACATAGATGGCCTCTCCTTTAATGCCTTTCTCCTCCTCAATTGTGAATAAATGATCTCTCCACGGGATCGACCGCTCAAATACCAAGATGCGGCCCTTGTCATCATACTCCATCCTCTTCTCTATCGCAGCAACGACAAGGTCCCTCGCCGGCAGCCAAGATTTCCCGTAGAAGTCGAGCTTGCGCAGGAACACCGACCCAATAAAGTCGGATGCCTGGACAAAGTTTGCGTCCTCGGACTCCTGCGAAGGCGAGGGGTCATTCCAGTTTGGATTGAAGGCGCCGACGGCAGATGGCAAAGAAATCGATTTTTCGTTAAAGAGTGGTGAAGGCGCGTCAGAGGGGTAGGCGGAGATGCCGTTGTCGTTGGCGTCGAGAGCTTCAATAAAGTCGTTGTAAAGCTTAGTGTAAATGAGGTCTGAGGAGGAGGAGGTTGGCTCGATTGAGAGGCGGTGATTGATGATGGCGCGCGCGAAATGCTTGTAGACCAACCCGGCGCTGGAGAGCTTTGTTTTGTGGTTGGGAGAGAAAGTCTCGGCGAATTCGCGCTGGTGGTGGTCAAAGTGCTTGGTGCCATCGTATTTACCAGTGACCTGGGGTAAGGTGTTAAAAGGGGGGTTAATGGTAATTTGGGTTTGGGGGGGGGGGGGGGGGGGGTTTACATCGACGATTATGTCGCACTCTTCAAGAACAGCGGGATCCCGGGAACGGGTGAGTGTTGCGTCTTTATATTCTGGGAGGAGACGGAGCATATAGACGGCGAGAGCCTCATCGGCCTAGAATATATAAATTAGTATTTATATAGCTTATTCTTGGTGTTATCTCGAGGTGTACATGGAAATGACCACTAATACATAATAACAATTATTAGCAAACAACGCGATAAAATATTGGTGTGAGGAAACTAACTTATGAGTTCCAATATTCAATGGGGTAGCCTTCATACGTTTAGCGGGAGCAGGGGTGGCCATTTTTGCGAATTTAGAAATTTGAGAACGGGTTGTGGTTGTGAATTGATTGAGAAGTGAGGATCGGGCTGAGGATAAGAGGTGGGGCAACATATGGTGAACGCGGGGTCGCTATGAAACAAAACGAAACGCAGCACGGTTGTGTATGTATTTCATGCATAACTATTGGTGTGTAACAGCCGGGTAACGAACCGGGATATGCGCAGTATCATTGGCTGAACTTACTCTACTCTACGACTGGTTAACTACATGACGTAGGTGAATTTATGTTTATTGGCTATCGGGACTTATTGTATTAAGGATTCAATACGACGTAACTGGTGAAAACGGCCTTAACTGGTCCCAGCTCTCAGTGAGGTGCCTATTCGGTCTTCTGAAGGTTTATATATAAACGCCACGCTAGCAAATTTATACTATACAAGCATCTTCCGGCCTTTGGCCGGAGTAGGAACTGTTATGGCTTAAACAATATCAGTTTACCAACGCTTAAGATCACTGAAACCCCAAGATGCCCTGTGCACATATCCGATATACTATTTGGTTGACTCAAGGTATGTTGGAACCAATATCTACTGGCTGACTCAAACATATTTGATAGAATATCTACTTACTGACAAACATATTTGATAGAGAAAAAGAAAACCCCTCAAACCTGGCCAATCAAAACCTTTAAATAACACATTGCATATCGGTATATCTATATACTTATTAGATAACCACTTCGACTGGTAGACAATGTCATTCACTTGGAGTACTATCATTATGTCTGATCTTTGTAAAATATTATATCCTGTTTGCTGACAGGTACTAGAGTACCTAGTAGCAGAGTTTCAACCTTCTATGGTATTTCGAGGAGTTCTCGGGCGGATTCTAGAGTTTGGTTTATATCTTCGGAGCAGGGAACGAAGTGAGAGCCACGGAATTGATAACCCGGTCGTTATTACGTATATATGCATGTGTTATCAACCGATTTCCGTATGTAGGTATACATTTACTCTACTTATAGGAATGTCGGCCCTGGATCTAATTTATTCCTACCAGGTGCCTGTAATATATATAGCATTGTTTATATGATCCTTGAAACGACAAAGTAATGCCTTTGGGCAGGTCTGCAATCTATTGGAAATTGGTGCCACATACACATAGTCTATAAGTGGTGGTAATTAAACTTTGCAGATAGAACGGCGAAAATATGTTGCAGAATCTCGAAGTCAGAGGCTTTTGAAGGGAGTCTCTTGAATTCAAGAGTTGAGGTTGGGCACTGAGCTTAAGTAGATTTAGGTCTGAATTAGATTCCGCTGCCGATCAACTGTTCCACGAAAACACGCGCTTGGCGCCAAGGGTCAAAGTTCTTCTCTGGAGTCACATTTTGGGTCTCTAACAGTCAAGTGAGCCTAATTCCCAGATGAAGGAAGCATCTCCAGTTGAATAACCTCGAGCTCCCAGGTGATCTAGTCACACAGTGTAGCAGACGTTACACACAGCGGATCTGAGGCGTCAAAACACCTGCCAAAATGATCTAACACCCGTGTGTACTCTATGTACATATGTATCTGTAAATCTAGAAAAAGGACATACATACATGTACTCTACCTATTAATTGTGTATAGACGGAAGAGCATGAGGTACCAAAACTTTAATCATACATAACTATGTCGCGATATGTGTAGGCACTCTAAGTGCAAATCCTTTTGTGCTCCCGATGATAAGTCTTATCAAGTATGCTTAATCTATCGCGGATCCAAGCCTTATCAGGCCATAGGTGTCACTTGGCAAAATAGCAGGGAAGTTTTTTTTTTTTTGTATTATTATTTGCCCAGCCCTCTCTGAAGAGTAGAATTTCTGATTTCCCTGAATTATTATTATCTTGTGATTACGACTGACTGCATGTGGACAGTCACGGAAGATCATCTTTTCTTGACCTGCTTCTCCTGTCCTGCCTGGTCCCGCCAATCCAAATCCTCTCGCGTGCTTTGTTGTGGAGTTGCCTGCCAGACCAGTGGTGTTCTTTGCTAGAAACATTTGGTTCCTGATCACTTATCACGAGTTGTTGTGCGGCTGTGGTGACGTGAGAGACCTTTCCCTTCACTCATTACGGCATATTTCTTTTTGTGTGGTCATCGTCAGTCACAAACGTTGCAGCTGTGACTGCCCGCTGCCCGCTGTCGCTCTTGGAATTTTCCCCTGCGCAAGGCTTGTGATATAGATAGATAGACACCATTCACTGTATTGGAACTTTTGGCTGCGAAGGGAAGTTTTTCACGAGGTGAATAACAACTGACAGGTGCTCTGTGCTTTCTATTTTGTCCATTCAGACTGCCAGTTTCCAACAGCCACTCATATCTCACATCCCATACGTCTATTCTGTCAGTCAGAAGCCACACATAGACACATTTCCTCACCCCCCACTCCACCCACTCAACTCTGAGACAACTACCTCATATCGACAACCTCACCTCTAACTTCTAACTTTCAAATACATACGGTATTAGCACTAACATCACCCATTCATTCATTACTGAGCCTACTACTCGAACCTTCGCTGCTGCCGCCGCCTCCCCCGCATCTCATCTCATCTAGATACCTCATCTCGGTCCACCGTGGATCTCCACCAGCTCGCAAACACGCGCCTCCAACGGCTTCACCATTCCCAACCACCAGGTCCACCGCTGCTCGAATACAGCGGTTGACCCTAAGCTCCCTCTCAGTATCATTACTCGACCAATAGTCGAATCACCTTTCCGATGTCGAGCTTCTTACGGCACCTCACGCGGGTTTCGGCAGGTGTTACCTTCCTGTCACTCATTATCCTGTTAATACCACTAGCCTTTGATGTTGGCGGCCGTGACTGCGGTCTTACATACAGTCTCTCCCTCACAATATTCTACTTCCTACTGTCAACTACGCGGATGATCACACCAAACTCGCCCTGCTGGAGGGGCATGCGCATGCGCGTGTTGCTATCTGTTGTGGGGGTAGCTCAGCATTTGGTCATTATCCCTGGACTGCTTATCTACGCGCTCAATAAGTTTTCGGACAACGAAGGAAATGGGGGAAAAAGCGCGGGCTACGTTCACGACGAGAGTTGGAACCCATCGTGGGTGGACAAGCTGAGCATTGTCCCCTGGGATAATTTTCTCACATTCTCGACACCGGTGTTTCAGCTATGTGAAGGCTTCTGTAGCTTGTTAGTTATTCAGGCGGTGGGACAGATTTCGAGATGGCTAGTTAATAGGAACAAGTCGGACAGTTGGATGGTAACGATTTGTTCTCTTGCCTATATGGAATTTGAAATTGGCGCTGATTTGGGATTTAGATTGCACTATTGGTCATGTCAGGTTCTGTCATCTCCTCATCTGTCTACTTCCTTTGGAGAATTACGACTTTCCCGGAAATCGGTAATATCGATGCTTCGCTCATTGGTGTAGCTGTCACGTGTGCGATCTTCTTGTGTGCCTACGGTATCGGCTCGGGCAGAGGGAACCCTATCGAGTCTTCTCTTCTCGTAAGTTTTTACTCGAAGACATTATTCCATGACTCCCAATACTTACTCTACCTCAAATAGTTCTCATACATTGTCCTCTGTTTGTACCAAATTTTCACGGACTATAAGCCCTCGTCACTAGATACTGCCGACGCCATACCACCCGGAAAACCTGATTTCCCACCATTCCCACCTCTTATAATGGCATCTTATAGCTCTATAGTTGCCTCGATGTCCTCCTACCTTCCCGGATTTCTGAGACAAATCGCATCATTTGGAATTAGCGCTGTTGCAACAATTACACCGTCTGTGGTGATCTCACTCGCATATAGGCTGTTTGTGTTTTACGCCTCGACGAGGATTATCCCTGCGGTGAGGGATGAGAACAGTGCAAGTGTGAGAGGGGGAGAAGCAATGTCAAGGATCCTTGGCTGGTATAGTCCGTGCATTCTTGTGAGCGTGTATACACATTTATTGATGCAACATCTCGAGATTGCCGGTGGAGACGCGGGAGTGGGAGCTGGGAGCTGGGAAGGAGGAATGCCGGCAGGAGGGCAGGTGTGGCGATGGGTCAATATCGGCGCTACTAGTATGTTTTCCTTTGATTTGATGGAATAAACGTAAGAAGCTGACATTTGGCAGTGGTATTGTATGCATTCGAGCTGAAACATGGGGACAATGACGGAGGAGAATCGTTGACAAGCCATTGGAAAACGGATTAAGTGGACATAGTCTGGAACAACAAAAAAAGAAGAAAAAATCGAGATTCGGTGTGGGTACATGGTATTGGAGGGTTGGAAATGGTAGGTGTTGGCAGGCAAAAGTAAAACTATCGTTATTTTTCTCTTTTTTTTTCTTTGTCAATTTCTTCTTCTTTAAACCCTTTCATCTATTTTTCGGCCTAATTAAGCTGGGGTAATATTGAATGGATGGTCATAGAGTTTTTTTTTTTTACCTCCCTCGTTCCTCCCCCTTTCGGTGGTTAGTTAATCATGGATGGTCACTCGTTATTTCCTTTGTAATCGGCTCGGTATGGTTGGGGCGGGACCTTTTGTTTTCTATGTAGTCTTCTTATTTTCTTTTCTGATTTCCTGTGTTTTGGGGCCTCTTGTTACGAGTTTTACGATGAACGGCCTTTTCTTTTATTTTATCTGTGGATGTGAGTATTATACCTTGGATGGATGGATGGCGCGTTTTTGTTTTGTTTTAAGGACGGCCGAAGTGGCGGTAATGGGTCGAATGGGTGGGCACATCATCCCTACTAGTGGGAAGTGGACATAGTTAGGAATTAATCATTTTCCTTCCTTTCTTCTACTTATTTGGGTTGAATTGATTAATGGCTTTTGTGGAAGACTGGTTATTAGGACTTGAATGACTATTGAATACAAGTACATGTAGGCATAGGGTATTGGGCATTGGGCCGTGTTCATACACTGTCACTCGTGACCAATTGAGGCAGGGATAGGGTAAATCATTCTGGTACTGCAGAGCACTTGTATATATAACTGTTGTCGCATCTGGGATTTGTGTCCTCAAAGCCAGGAAGATATGTATCCTATAGATAGAATAAATCCTATAAGAGACCCCCAAGACTACATGTAATCCATCAGTCCTTCCATTCATCTATCCTCCTTTATGGCTCTGTCTTGGGGCTCCCGTCACATTAGAAACAATAACTAGGGCTTCCGGGAGGAACATAGACTTTGGATTGAAGCAGACAGGCATATATGACCGCGAGTTAGGTCCTTTTACACTACAGATAGGGAGAGCTTGTAAGTCATGAGGGGGAGAAACGAGTTCTCATCCCAGCACATTTGCCACCTCCGCTCCCTCGCTCCCCTCCTCTCCCTACATTCCAGCATACGCCTGTCTGTTCTCTCTTTCCCCCTGCCCCCCCACTTCCATGTTTTCTTTTCCTCGATTCCTCCCGCCATCGTACTCTATCTTCGGGAAGTGGCTAGTCGTTTGTTTGTATTGTGTGCACATAATGATTGAGGACATTATTTCGTTTTTTGTATTTTTTTTAAAAATTGTTGCTGATGATACAACCCAGATCCCAATTTTTTATAACAAATCCCTCCCCACCCCCATGAGGGGGGGAAGGATGCTGAAAAGAAGAGAAAAACCAGAACAAAAGAAAACAGATGCTTAAGTTCCTGGGTTGGGGTTCATCTTTCTCTTGCCACCGGTCATGGTGACGTTTACGAAGCGGCGGGTGTACCTGTTTGAAAACCTTATTAGCTCCCTGTCTCTGCCGGGAATATAGAAATGGAATCGAGCGATGTGAGCTCGGTGGATGGAGACGTACAAGATTCTCTTCCAGGCACGACCCTTGGGCTTCTTGGGCTTCTCCTGGGGCTCGACCTGTGGTTGTGGTGGTGATGTGTCAGTTGTTTGCAATATAGGTGGATGAGTAATCCGCTGCTGCCGCCGCCGCCCCCTCCCTCCTTCGCCGCCTTACCGCTCCTCCCTATTCCTCCCTTTCTCCCCCTCTTGACCGGGCGGCGGCGACGACGGATGCTGAATTGTGAAAGAACGAGAGCGTAGAGCATACCTTGGGGGTCTGAGACTTGACTTTACCAGCACGAGCGAGAGATCCGTGGACTTTACCCATGGTTGCGGATGTGTGTTTGGTAGGTTTTTAAGCTGGAGGTGGCGGCTAAGTTTCGAGTGAGTTAGTGAGAAGTTCTCTCTCTCTTTTTGTGCGAAATTTTTGGAAATATCCTCTTTCCTCTGCTCTGCTCTCCTGTCCGTAGCGGGGGGGATCTAAAACGTACCTAGGCTTCGAGAAATGATGTCGGTCGTAGGGTTGTGGTCTGTCGTTGTTTCGATGTTGTCTGGGAATGATGGGCTCTACCGGCTTGGAAGATTTGCGTGGCTGCCAAGACGGAGCTAGCGGAGTACGGAGTTGGGCCGAATGTGACCGTGGTGCTAGGGCTGTGCCCTGATGGGTCCACAACGAGTACCGTTAATTCTCGAATAATCCACTATCCCCGTATTTGTATGTGGTAAGTCCGAACCAAGGCGAATTGGCCTATCAAACTTCACGGATTCGTGCAGATACATATATGTATGGACTTTTTATCACCCGGAATTAAGATTCAGCGAAGCGGGGATATGTAGTGGGTTTCTCGAGAATTAACGGTAGTTGGTTGGGGTGGAAATGATCGTTTTTCGGCTACCCACGTGAGGGTTTGTGAATGGAGGTTTTGGGAGTGGCGGATGTCATAGCTAGGTAGAGCGAATAGACGAATATTTACAAGGACAGTTTCGTCGTTCATTTGGTAGGTATATGACTACATAATGCAAAAATAACAAAAAAAGAAAAGAAAAGAGGAATGAAAACCTAAACCTAGACACCAAGCACCACCGAGTGAGAATCTATGTATAAGCAGCGCATTATCAAGTCCCAATCCTCATAAACGGATTGATGCCAGTACCCGGCTCCTTCACCCTCCCATACGTCTTCTTCTTCACCTCGATATCCGGGTTGACACTCTCCATGCTCGCGAGCGTCAGCACGGCCGCCCTCTGCGCCTTGTTGATCGCAGACTCCCAATCATTCTTCTTCGCGTACTGGCCCAGGAACACGCCGAGGAACGTATCACCCACGCCATTCACGCTGACAATCATGCTGGGCTTCTCGGCGGCGAAGTGCTGCGCGATGATCTTGTATGGTCCTCTGCCGCGCGTGGCAATGGGCTTGGGCACGAGCTCGCTGGTGTCGAAGTCGGAGGGCACGAGACGCACGCTGAGGACGCCGCGCGCTCCGAGCTTGATTAGCTGGTTGGGGAAGTAGGGAGCGAGGTGCACGGCTTGCTGCAGGATGCCGGTGCTGCGGAAATCGACGCCGGCTTGGTGGCCGAGCATTTCCATCTCTGGTGGAGGGGTTAGTACATTATAGTGGTACCGTTATTTCTCGAGTAATCCACTATCTCCGCTTAGTTAAATGTTAATTCCGGGCTGGAAAAAGCGTGTATCTGCACGAGCGCGTGAAATTTGATGCTGCCAATTCGCCCAGGCCCGGACTTACCACGTACAAATACGGAGATAGTGGATTTCTCGAGATATAACGGTAGTGAGGATGGTGTTTATTGCGAGATGGTTACGTATCCCGGTTGTTGTATGGGAAACAGTGTTTTTGAGCCTACCCACTGCAAAAATAGCGCTCTGGGGCTTCGTAACGAGGAGGTAGAGCTCGAGGATTTCTAGAAATGAAATTGCCTCGTGGTTGTGAAGTTGTGTGCTTTCTAGGTTGGGCATTTTTTGATAGAAACATAAGTCCCAAAATACCCAACTTTGAAGTCTTGCATCTTCACAACCATGCACGATACCGAAATAGGTATCCTCGAGCTCTACCACTCATCTTTCCTTGTCCTCTCCTTACGCCATGAAACCCGTCGAGAGCCATTTCCCGAGTGTGCAAGCACCCAAAACACCAGTTTCCCATATATGCGGGTATACATCTTACCATCGGGCAATGGAGGTAGAAGGAGGATGGAGACACATACCATTGTTAAACATCGAGTCCACGCCAATCTCATCAATCATCTTGAACCACTTCTCGGCCTCAAACAGCTCCATCTCCTTCGCGGCCTTAAACATGCTCGCCAGCTCCAGCTCGTTCGGCGATACCAGTGAGATGCGTGTCTGTGGGTAGAAGCGCATCCGGGGGTGAAGGATCCGCACGGCCTTCTCCACTGATGTGGGCTCGAATGCAACTATACGCTGTCAGCAACTAAGCTCTTTCTCTACCGGTGGGTGGGCGGGTTGAGTGGTACGTACTTGACATGCCCGTGGCATCGCCCCCAGCAATCATCTTGATGGTCGCAGCGGAGAGGTTCCCGTCAAGACAGATCCACGTCGGCCGCGCCTTCACAATCCTCTCCTTCAGCCACTCCTGATCAATGTTCTCGATGATGGCCATGTCCGCGCTCGCAACGCTCATGTTCCCATCGCCGCCATTGAACGCCACGTATCGCGCCGTGCTGTGACCATCGACCAGCCGGATGCCCGTCGGGTCCATTCCCTTCGCCTTGATGCGTTGCAGGGCCCAGTCGCCGCTCAGGTCCTTCCCGACGGCGGAGATGAGCTTTGTATTTGCGCCTGCATAGTGCGCTGCTGTGGCGACGTTGTTGCCGACGCCGCCGAGGGACTCGACGATGCGGGAGGGGTTGGAGGTGGAGAGTTGGACGGTGGTGGTGGCGTCGCAGGAGAGGTCGATGGCGATGCTGCCGACGACTAGGACGTCGGTTGCGTACGTTACGCTGGGTTCGGGGCTGTCATCGGGTCTAGGGCAGTAGACCTCGGAGGCGACGTTGATCCAGGTGGAGCTGTGGTTGCGGGGTGTTAGCGGAAACTTGCACATTGATCATTACCCCTCTCCCCTGCCAACCCACACACCCCGGGGAGAATATAACATACTCGTTTGTGAGTGCGGCGAGCTCAACAGCGATCTCGGCGCCGCGCTTGGCATTGTTGACGACGAGGGCCTTGTTGGCAAGGACCGAAGCGCCGCGGGTCTGGTCGCGGATGACCTCGAGGGTGTACGGCGTGACGGCCTTCCCCGTGATACCCTTCTTCCGGCACCGTGTCACGGCGCCGGTGATGATGTCCTTCATGGCCAGGTGATTGATGTGGTGGCTGTCGGGGATCGGGTTCATGAACAGCTGCCCGCTCTCCAGCCCCATCTCCTGCGCCGCATACACGATCCTGGCCGCCTCTGCCGACGTCTCAATCACCATCTCGGCCTTCCATCTGCTGTCACGGCTGTAGAACAGCGGGATGAAGGTGTCCTGGCCCTTCTTGCCGAAGGTGATGGCCGGCACGCCGACGGTCTCGAGGTACTCCATTGTGCGCTCGATGTCGAGAAAGGGCTTGGCACCCGAGCACACGACCGCGACGGGCGTGCGCCCGAGCTCGGCGAGGTCGGCGGAGATGTCCATGCTGTTTGCAGCGCCGCGATGGACACCGCCGATGCCGCCGGTGGCAAACACTTTGATGCCGGCGTGGTGGGCGAGGATCATGGTGCCGGCTACGGTGGTGCCGCCGCTCTCGGCGCCCTGTCTTTTATGTTAGCCCCTAGAGCAAAACGCAAGCATTCCGGGGTGGTAGGGAGGCAACTTACAATACCGGTGATCCAGGGGAGGTCGCGGCGGGAGACCTTCTGAACGCTCTTGGGGCCGGAGTTGGCCAGCACTTCGATCAGAGAGGCGTCAAGGCCGATACGGGCGATTCCGTTGACGACGGCGGTGGTGGCCGGGATGGCGCCGGCTTCGCGAATGGTCCGTTCGACTTTGGCGGCGAGTTCAACGTTGTCAGGGTATGGGAGGCCTGTTGAGATTTGCGCGATTGGTTAGCTGCTAGCCTTATAATACAGTCTTTTTTGAATTTATTTATTTATTTCATATATATATCCAGGCCAGTGGCAAGTAGAGCTTGGGCAATTGAGACAAACCATGCGTGATGATAGCACTCTCAAGTGCAACCACCGGCTTGCCCTCTGCCAGCGCCTGCTGCACCTCCTCCGAGACCTGGATGAACTTTGAGAACCGTCGCCATGGCTCCCGTTCACCGGAGGTGGTGGTCGAGTACAGTCGCGGTGCGAGGGATTGGGGACGGGGGATTCTGAGGGCGCGGGGGAGGCGCGAGAGAAGTGACATTGCTCTGGTGGTGTTTCCGGTGAACAGCTGCACAGAACGGGGGGGGGAGAGAGAAATCTCGAGAGAGCACAGGCAAAGGTGCAATTGAGTCTTGACGGCGAGGAAAAAGTAATTATGGCGTTGCGGAAAGCGCCGCTTGGGGCCGGGTAACGGGCTGGCGTCACTCGGTGTCACTCGGTAGTTCTGCAGCTGTGGTAAAGATGATTGATTGATTGATTGATTGATTGATTGATTGATTGATTGATAATTCATTAATCGTGTGCAGCCCGGAGGCAATGACTAAACCCGTCAATAAGAGCAAGCAGCTACTGAAAGGGTAGACAAACAAAACAAATTAAGGGCCCGTTTAATTGGGAGCTGGCCTCAGTAGAAAACAACTTTTCAATCACCTCCGTCCCCATGGAGTTAGCAATTCTCTCCTTGTTCCCCTAAAATCAGATTTCGTATCTTGCCTGGGCTTGCGGTGGATAACCCTATCAGCTAGCTCAGCATGCCATTGCATTAAATATATTGACGGTGAACGTCCTGGCTGCCCATGTGCACATCTATCAATTGACTGCAAGCAAGCAACTGTTAACCCTGACGTCGCTGGCCTGTCTACTCGCCAGGCGGAGAAAAGAAAGAAGCTATCGATGCAGCTGCACACATATTCTAGAGTTCATCAGAGTACTGCTGCTCTCTCCACCATCCCGGCCACCGCAGTCACTACGAGTAGGATATTGGCAATCACCCGGCCGCCCCACCTACTCTCTACCATGCCAGTACAGTGTACAAGACATACTGATATCTTATACCTGCTTTCCCCTATGCATCTATAGAATTCACCCTTTTGTACCGCACCTTTGGCAAACACTCACCGACTAGCTCCATGTAGATTAACAGCACTTGTTACCGCGTGGCTCCTGCCGCTTCATGGGCGGTCACTCGAGTCTTCCCCTGATACATTGTACACATGAGTACAGCGGGGAAGTAATGGCAGTCAAAAAGAGCCAAGGCCTCTTTTATGTGTCTCGCGCGAGAGGCTTCAGCTGGCCTACGATACATTACTTCCATTGATGAAGAACACTGCCTAGCATGCACTGCCCGGCGCGGCTACCTAGAGTACTAGGATCATACAGTCACTCTGTGAAACTCAAACTGGATTGACCGGATGGCACCAGCATTACGAGAAGAAGAGTGTATATCTCGATATCAAAGCTGGTGTTTGGAATCACAAACACTTTTAAAGTCCATGGACTATGCATCTCACTCAAACGTCGGCGGATCAGTAAACAGCTATATTTTTGAAAGGTTGACCTGGGATACCTATTCACACCGATGGAAAGGTCACAGATATATATGATTCCTGCGGATGGAAGCCTAGAGAAAGCAATATTGAAATATTATAGTTGTGGCTGTACCCGCCCAGCAGATACAGCAGCTATATAGACAGAGCCCCGTCCCCCCAATAACAATAAAAAATAAAAAATAAAAAATAAGAAATAAGAAATAAGAAACAAGAAACCTTTAGCTCATTAACCTTAATCATTAAACCATAACGTCAAAAAAAACCATCCACTCTCATAAGAAAGGTGAGCTCCTATCTGCCTCCTCCATATCCCACTCCTCTTCGTCTTCCTCCTCCTCCTCATCATCATTCATCTCCATCTCCCACTCCCACAGCTCTCTCGCCCTCCCACATACTTGATAATGCGCCAGATATCCCTGGGCGGTGAACATCCTCCCCAGCTCCCTCTTTCTCGCATCGAACCCCTCCAACCCGCTCCCAATTCTCACTGGCATACAGGGCATCCCCTCACCCCTCAGCGCAACCACCGGAAGCGTGCTTGTGCAGCCCTTACAAGAGACACCATGCTCTACCACTCCTGCCCGGCGATCCACCGTCGGCAGCGCAATCACGCCCAGAAGCCGGCGGACATCCATATCCTTCGAATCCGACACCCCCTTCTGCGCCCGCGCAGCAACATATTCCCCAACCTTTTCGGCGCTGCCGTGGACCGCCACAGCAACCCTCATCGCCGCAGCCCTAGACACAAGCCGTCTCGACTCGGGCTCGACACAAGCCTCCTTCCACGTCCTATACACGCCCGGCACACTCCTCATGACCGGCAGCTCCGCCGCGCGCCCGCCCGGGATGCCGTACAGCCGCATTGCCTCCTCCGGCGCCAGCGGCAGCAGGTCCGGGTGCTGCGTCAGGCACGCCCAGCAGCACCGTGTGCAGTCCAGCATCCAGAGGAAGGGCCCGAATTCGCCGCAATGCGCGCAGCGCTCCGTGCACAGCGCCGCCGAGAGCTGGGCGACGGTTATGGACGCGCCGAGGGCGGTTGCGGAGTAGGCGTGCAGCGCGTGGGCGGCATGGGCGCGCAGGTTGCGGTAGAGGGGGTCGGAGAGGAGGAGGGAGTGTGTGCTGGAGCTTGTGGAGAGGAGGGGGCTGAGCGCGCTGAGGGGGAGGGCGTGGACGATGTCGTGGAGGAGCTCGAGGGGGAGGGTGTCGAGGGCGCCGAGGGAGGCGGAGGCGCGCGGGGTGCGGGGTGCAATGGGTGGGGGTGGGGTGCAGCTGAGGATGGAGCTGGTGAGGTCCGGGCGCGGGTAAGTGAGTGTCTTGAGGAAGTCGGGGGTGCTGGATGACATGTTTGAGGCTGGGGGGGGGGGGATGGGGGGAGGTATCGAGTCAATCGATTTTCTTTTGAGGGCCGGATATTATTATTGACAATGGGGGGGGAGGGGGGGGGGAGTATGGAGGTGTCTATGAAGCAGATTCAGATTTCATGGCGATAAGCGTCCCCAGTATTATTATAACACATCCATCCATCCTGATGTGTGTGTGCGTACGACACGACAGCATACCACCCGTCCGCCCCTCCCCTCACTGAGTAGAGCAGGCAGGACACAATACCCAGGTATGTAGAGAGGGCAAAGAGTGAGAAAAAAAACCTCCGTTGTCCCTACATGAGCACGGCGTCGAATCGATGAGGTCGTGTTCCAAGGAAACACCCTCCCAACGATCATTGCCAGGGTTCAGCCGAGCTGAAACTAAGAACTAAGCTGGCTGGCGGGGGGCGGAAACACTGCTATTGGATCGCGCGTTTGGGGGCGCTGCGGGTTGCCAGCAATCGCTCGGTTGCGTTGCCCGGTTGGGTCAATGTCGACATGACATGCATGAACCACCACCCCCGAGGAGATGTCTTGCCATGTGCCCTGCGGTGGCGCAGTGCTGTCGAGGGGGAGAATCATACCCTGTCACCCGCGATGCGCATGAAGCGTGGGTTTCCCGATAAGGGGGGCAGTACCTACATGGAGCAAGCAAGTACATAAGTGCAAACATTCCACTTTGCTAATCAAATGTTTGATCATGCAGTAAAAGTAGGGTGCGCCGTGATTAGGCAATGAGGAGATACTTGGATTACATGGGGGCGAGAAGGACTGGCGGTCAGGCATGATTGTCGATTGCTGGGTTTGAGAATTGCCGGTGAAGAGATGTAACTGCTACAACTACTGTACTGTACTATGCCTGCCAAGCTGTAGGATAAAGTACATGATCGGTCACCGGAGTGAATAAAATAACAGTGTCTATGAAGCTTATAAAGCTTAACTTGAGCTTTTCCCCCGCTTTACGAAACACATACAATATCTTTTGCCGCGAGGCAATTATTCTTTGGAAAAAAAAGAAAAAAAAGAAAAAAGAGAAAAGGCAATACAGGCATTTGGGTTAGATTGTAAAAGAGGAAAAAAAAGAAAATAGAAAAGATAACTCCGGATTTTTTTTTTATAAAGTCTTGTTTTTGAAGGGTGCCGTGATGATTTTGCTGACGACACCGAGAGTTTCTTGTATCACTGATAGATACAACGGAATGTGCAAAAGAAGAGAACTTGAGCTTAGATAAGCTCATCGCACGTCCAATCCTCATAGCTAAAGTAATCATAACCGTTAGTAAGCCACACATACGAAATAATTAAGTCATAACTTCCCCCCTCCAAAAAAAAAAAAGAAAAAAATGAAGTAAATAAAACGGGGAAAAAAGAAAACAACATACTATCCATCCGGCAAATACCTCCTGACCACCAACGGGATCTTCTTCTCCTGCAGCTCCTTGAGCGCAATCTGCAGCGGGTCCGTCTCACCACCGGTATCCACGAGCACAGGCGCATTCATGCTGATCTGCAGCGCCCTGGTCCCCAGCAGCCGCGCGCGCTCGTACTTGGTCATGTACGGCGTCGTCGTGCGCTTGTCGTCGGGGATCTTCTTTGGGTCCTTTCCGCGGACGCCGCCGGCTGCTGCTGCGGCGGCGGCAGCGGGGTCGCCGGCGACAATGTAGTCTTGCGCGTTGAGGGCGGCCGAGTCGGCTTCGTCGCCGGAGAGAAGGTCTTGGGGGTCCACGTCGAAGTTGTCGCCTTCGTAGTCTTCTTCGTAGGCGTCGTGGGCGAAGCTGGGGGATGTTAGTGGGGCGTCGGGGGTGAAGGGGAGGGGGGGGGGGCTTACTCGTTCTCGCCGTCGTCACCGCCGTAGTCGGACATTGTTATAGCCTGGGGGGTGTTTGTTTGTTAGAGCTTGTGTCTGGGGGCGGGACTGCTGTGATGGGGGATGGTTGTGGTTGTGGCGATGAGAGTGGTGGTGGTGTTGATGGTGTTGATTGTGTTGATGGGCGAAAACCTCTCTTTACGCGTGCTGCGGTGCCAAGCTTTGCGGCTCTTTTGCCACTGTCGAGCTAGTTCCAGACTCGGTTACTCGATTCTTCAAAACCCAACCCCACGTGATCTGCAGTTTCAACCTCCGCGCTGAATCTCGAAGACTCGAATTGAACCCCCCACCATCTACACATTATTTCTCAATTACCTCGATCCCCACACAACATGCGCGCGGTCTCGAGGAATATAGGTGCTTTGGTATTAACAAGACCCAGACGGTCCCCCCACCACCAGATACTACAATGCCTCCAGACAGCGGCGATACCCCAGCAGCAGCGATACCAGCGATCTGCGCCATCAATATCAATAGAAAGCAATGGCATCAGCACCAGTAGAAGCATATCCACCACCCCCGCCCTCTCCGCCTCCCCAATTCCCTCCGGCAAGCCCTCCCCTCCCCCCCCCCCCCCCCCAAGACACCCCACTAACCTCCACAGACCCCACCCCCGCCTCACCCCCGCCGCTGCAGCTCCGGACCTACCAAGAAGAATGCATCCGCGCGGTCCTCGAGCACGTCTCCCTCGGCGAGCGGCGCCTGGGCATCTCGCTCGCCACGGGCTCCGGCAAAACCGTAATCTTCACGCAGCTGATCGAGCGCCTGACGCACCCGTCGCGGCCGGCGACCGCGACACAGACACTGATCCTGGTGCACCGCAAGGAGCTGGTCGAGCAGGCGGCGAGCCACTGCAGGCGCCACTATCCGCACCTCACTGTGGAGATTGAGATGGCGACGGCGCATTCGAGTGGGACCGCGGACATCACGGTCGCCAGCATCATGAGTGTTGTGAGTGGGGAGAGGATCGAGAAGTTTGAGCGGGAGAGGTTCAAGTTGATCTTGATTGATGAGTGTCATCATGCGGTGAGTAAAGGGTACTTGAAGTGCTTGGAGCACTTTGGGTTGGTCAAGGTGGGGGCGGTGGCGAAGGAGGGGGAGGACTCGTGGGGGCCTGATATGGCGATGGGGGGGTTTGGGAAGGACACACCCGTGCTGGTGGGCGTGAGTGCGACAATGTCGAGGTTTGACGGGCTCAAGCTGGGGAAGGTGCTGGATAGGATTGTCTATCATAAGTTAGCACTCAATTGCACCAAAGATTTTCTTCTTCTTCTTCTTCCTCCTTCTTCTTTCTGTGTGCGTGTGCGTGTTGTAGGCTGATTGTGTGCTGGGAGAGTTGCGTAGGGACTACATGGACATGATTGCTGATAACTGGTTTGTCGCTCATTGACCCTCCAATATTTCTCTCCCCCCCATCCATATATAGTGCTAAAACACAACAATGAAGGCTCTCGCCCTGTAAATTCACCACCGTCCAGACCCGCGTCGACCTCTCAGATGTCCGCGACGCCTCCACGGGCGACTTCAATCTCTCCGACCTCGAGCGCGCCGTCAACACCAAAGAAACCAACAACGTCACCGTCCGCTCATGGCTGCAGAAAGCAGGTAAGCTCCTTCACACCCCTCTCAGTCTTCCCTCATCTAGTCGTGCCCCCACTGACAGCGCAGTCCAGACGACCGCCACTCCACAATCGTCTTCTGCGTCAACATCCAGCACGTCAATGACCTCTGCGACACCTTCCGCAACCACGGCATCGACGCCCGCCCCATCACCAGCAACACCCTGCTGCAAGTCCGGCGTGAACGGCTCGAAGAGTTCCGCGCGCGAAAGTTCCCCGTGCTCGTCAACTGCGGTGTCTTCACCGAGGTATACCGCCCTCCCTCTGCCCCCTCCCCCCCTCCCCCGTGCTGCGTGCTGCGTGCTGATATTGACTGGGCGAGGTATGCATAGGGCACCGACATCCCCAACATCGACTGCGTCCTCCTCGCGCGCCCCACAAAGTCTCGCAACCTCCTCGTACAGATGATCGGGCGCGGCATGCGCCTCTTCCCCGGCAAAGCCGACTGCCACATCATCGACATGGTCGGCGTGCTGAAGCGGGGGATCGCTACAGTGCCCACCCTCTTCGGGCTCGACCCCGACGAGCTAGTCGACGAGCTGACAGTGGAGCAGCTACAAAAGCTCAAGGAGAAGCGGGAGCGGGAGGCGGAGAAGCGGCGGCTAGAGCTGGAGGCGGAGCAGGAGGAGGCGCGGGAGAGGGGGGAGGAGGAAGAAGGGTCGGGGCTGGAGGGGATGAAGATCAGTGTGCAGTTTACGGACTACGAGAACGTGTTTGACCTCCTGAAGGACGCGAGGGAGTCGTGCGGTATCAGGCGGCTGAGCCAGTATACGTGGGTCACGATTTCGGCCGGGAAGCATGTGTTGCCGCTGAAGGCGGGGCGGTATCTGAAGATTGTGAGGGAGAGGGACGGTTTGTGATCACCCCCTCCACCATCTATTCATGTTTTATAGCTGTGGGCTTTGGGACGGGGGTTTTGTGCTGATGCTGAGAGGGGCGGGGCGTGCAGGGACGTTCACGTTGATTGAGTATAATAAGCTCCCGCCGGAGGTTACGAAAGCAAGTACGTTCCTGTCGAATAGGCGGATAGTTATGGCGGGTGCGGAGTCGCTCGCTGATATCATACAAGGCGCTGGTTTGTCCCCCCTCCACTCTGTCTTTGTACCCATCCCTCCTGCCTTTCCCCACTCATCTCTGCTTTCACCACGTCTCTCCCCTCTGCTCCCCTCTCCTTCCCCCCCACTCTAACCCAGCATCCACAGACACGCTCGCCGCCAAACACAAAGCACGCAACCTCCTCCTCCACAGCGCCCCCTGGCGAAGACGGCCCGCCTCCGAGCCGCAGCTCGCGTTCCTCCACACCTTCAGAGACAAGTACACCATCCCGGAGGACCTGACGATTGGGCAGGCCGGGGACATCATCACCAAGCTGCGGCACGGCGGCCTCAAGGAGCTGGAGAAGCGCAAGAAGCAGGAGCAGCGCGAGCGGCTCAAGGACGAGAGGGAGCGCATCAGGGACGAGAAGGCGCGCATGAAGGCAAAGGTGAGGGAGGAGGCGCGCGAGCAGAGGCTGCGCGATAAGGAGGAGAAGTTGAGGAGGTTGGAGGAGGTGAAGGTGGGGCGCTTGTTTTGAGGGCCTGGGTAGGGGGGTTTCGCTGCTTGGGTGTGGGGGTGGGCTTTTTCTTTCTTTTTGATCTTGCTTTCTTCTTTTCTGTTTTTTTTTTTTCTTTCTTTCGTTTCTTGGTCTTGTCCGTTTTTGTGTGTTCTTGGTTTGGTGTTGGACATTGGTCTGAGCGACCGAGTGATGTGCTGTGATGCAGTGGTTTTTAGTCCATCTTGGTCACGTCTGAGGTAGATCTACAACAACTACACGTAGCGCTAGCGATAATGTTTGGCTTCTTGGACGAGTGATCGGTTTTAGAAAATGAGTCGCCTGTGTATTGTTGGCTAGAAGAAAATAGACTATAAGGAAAATAAAAGGAATGACATAATATCGAACTCAAAAACCCATCTGATCCTCCACACTTTTTTTTTGACATTTTTTCTTTTCTTCCCTTTTTTTTTGGCTTATCCAAAGAAATTCGTAAAACAAACCACACAAACAAACACTGTCCAGAAGCCTAACCAAAGAAAGAAAGAAAAAAAATCGAAACTCATCAATCTCAAACAATTTCAGCCAACAGGAAAAACAGATACCAAACTCCGCACACCAACATCGTCATAAATACCGACCGAGATGTGAACAAGAATGCTCGCCGCCGGTAGGATCAAGCAAGCAGAGACTAGTTGCTTGCGTTTGAGGGCCCCGCATCGTTGGGGTTGACAGTCTTGCGTGCGTAAGGCTTTGGCGCCTTCATCCTGGGCGTAACGTGAGTCTTTGGGATGTTTTCTTTGTGGATACTCCTCCGGTGTTGAAGTAGGTTATCGTAACGGATAAACCCCCAGTGCCCGGTTTTTTTACAGCCTTTGAATGGGCAGGGAATCATGTTCTCAATCCTGGTGTCATGCAAAAGGTGTGTGGATTTGAAATGACGGTTGAAATTATTTCTGGTTTTGAATTTACTGTTGCATGCAGGAGCAGTGAACCCGCCCCGCCACGCCGTCGACACGCACTGTATCGTAAGCGGTTTATTAGTGCTATAGATACATTGATGTTCGCCGCTACTAAACCACAATTAGCATATATATCTTGCCCGTAAACCTAGAATTAAGAGGTGTGAACGATATTAATCGTAAAATACATACAGAAATTTACCGCCGCAGTTAATACCGCAACTGTAATCTTCAGAAGAAGAAACCTTGGGCACCTTCTTGTTGACGCTGGGTCCTGGCATCACTGGAAGAGCTGGAGCCTGTGCTGCGGGGTCATCATCCTTTTCTGGAGAACTTTCGTGATCCATAACATCTTCATGTTCGGGTAGCGATTGGTTGGAGACCTCGTCGGGCTTGGAATGACTGTGGATGGTATTTAATTGGTTTGAGGCCATCGGAGGGAAGCGCGTTTGGTAGGTTTGTTCCGCGGGGGGGCCCTCATGGGTGGCCTTGGAGCCATGGGGGTTGTTGAACCATGAAAGTTGACGTTGAGATATGTCCCAGATATAGCTCTCGTGAGTGGCTGCGATTGGGTGCACTTGATAGGCTTCATGGAGTTTACAACTGCGTAATGAAATCAAAGTTCAGGCTCGTCAGTATAAGCTAAAAAAAAAATCACCGAGAATCCATGTCGATTGGTATGTAGACTGTTATTCCAAATGCGATATGTGAGTGAGCGCCTTGCAGCTCAGGCCCCGGCAGTGGTAGAATTGTAGAAAAGTGTAGTTGCACAAAAAAAAGTGAGTTAACTGAGTTCGAGTGTGTAGGCTTTGAGTGTGTAGGTAGGATTTGAGTGTGTGTAGGCGCAAAAGAGAACAGAAGGCAGAGGGGGGGACCTCTTCGTTATATAATTTTTCTATAGATCCGCACATTATCAGACTCGTTCTACCAGCTTCTAGCTAGTCGGCGATGGCATTATATAATTAGGCCTGTACGTACTGTCCCTATCAATTTTTACTGAAGCGCACTGTATTGCAGCTACGGATTATCTCGCTCTATAACTATCTGGTAAAGTTGATAATGAAAAATCATAACTCTCTTCAGAAGCTACTACCTAGTGCTTTGCCTACTACTATCGTGTTCCTTAGCTGCCTACGTACGTACTGAATGTTGAGAGTCCCATATTACGTAAAAACTGGCCGCCAAACACCCAGTCAAGCGAAGTTTGTCTATCTACATTTCTACTTGGTAAATACGTACACAAGTTGAATTTTGTTCTTTGGACGTCGCTTAATGCCGCCGTTTATGAAATTTCGAAACTAGATGTTTCACACCTACACTGGCCTGCATGTAGCTGACGAGCCTGGTTGCTACCTTACATACATGCCAGGCTCATCGGAAGCACTAGGCCCATAGGAGCCAGTCTGAAACATGCAGCTGCACGGTTCACTGGCGCCAAATAAGGACTGGCGTTTAACGAGCCTGAAAATATGACATTACCCCTCAATCCTGATGTACTGTTATGCTGGATATGTACTGGAATATAATTCTTCTGAGATTGCTGCAATCTGATTGGTTGACAGCGACAGGGATATTTAGTAAGCACGACACATCAAATTTCGTTTGTTTGGTGCAGTTACCCTGCCTAATTTGGTGCGGTTACCCTGCCTGATTTAGTGCTGTTACCCTGCCTGATTTGGTGCAGTTACCCTACCTGAGGTTACCCTGCCTGCAGGTAGCGGGTGCGCTCTGAATTTGAGGTGTCGCGCCCGTTGCTATGCACCTTTGAGGTACGGTGCGGGTTCTGAGTGTGGGTTGCGGAGTTGCGGAAATGCACCAAAAAAAACCCGTTTTCGACCCTGAAAATAACCCCCGGTGCGTCAAGTGGCCGGAACCCCCCTATTTTGCACCGGTGGATCTGTGGGAGCTGGGTGATAACACACACAACTCCTTGGGACCGGACTCTTTGCCAAAAATTCAATCTACTGAATAAAATCTACTGAACAAAATCTACTGAATAAAATCTACTGAATAAAATACCATCAACTCTTTAACAATCAATATCTTCGATTAAATTATCTGCTCCTGGGCCAAACAAAGTCCATTCCATACCGTTCCATAGTGTTCTCACCCAGCTCTCTCGGCAACATGTCGACAATTAAATGCACAACCTGTAAACAAGATAAGGATATTGCAGATTATGATCTCGATCGTAATGGCCGGCCCTGTAAATCATATCGGGCATGCTTAGTGAGTTTTTAAGTTACAACTATTAATTGAATTCTACTGATTCGGATCTTATTACAAGGCTCGCTCGCGTGAAAATACACGTCGTCGAACAGAATTAAGACGGCGGCAACAAATAGTAAATAATGTAGAGGTGAGTGGCAATATTGCTCTTTATAGTACCAATACGCGGGGTTCCTATTCTAATAGATACTCCTATGGCAGCCATCTCGGCCGCCGATTCAACCCGCGGTACCACTAGCATTCCAATCGTCATGGGCACGTTGGACGCCATTGGAGTTGGGCAGAATGACAGTGATTTGTCCTTCATGTCAAGCTTTACATTGGCTAAGCGAGCGCGTGCAAGGGAGTTCAATCACGTTACCGCGGTTTGAAAATTGTTGCAAGAAAGGCGATGTTCAGTTGCCGGCATTGGAACAAGCCCCCGAGTACTTACGGTACCTACTAGAATCTACTGATACAATTGCTAGACAGTTCCGTAGCCGCATTAGGGAGTACAACTCCGCTTTGATCTTTACTTCCGTTAAATATACCTCAGATGAACGCATCGACCGTCAAGCTGGGGGGGTGACATGCTTCCAAATCCATGGCGAGCTATATCACCTTCAGGGGCCCCTGACTGCAGCAGCAAACGATACGCCCGCTTTTGCTCAGTTATATTTCTATGACCCACTCTACGCTGCACAAATGATGCAGCAGGGACATCCAACTCTAGATATTGCGGTTTTGGAACGGTTGACACAAGAGATACACACAGTCAATCCATTTATTCCATTATACAAGACAGCGAAGGAAAGATTGGAAGCTGCGTCCTCACAAGATGGAGATGTACGTGTCTTACTCAATCCGCAATTGCGGTTGATAGTGGAGAGTGGAGCGGACAAGCGGAGACACAATTTGCCTACAAGCAATGAAGTCGCTGCGATTATCCCGGATGAATATGGTGAAGCAGGATTCCGGGATATTGTCTTAGCACATAGAAATCCAGATGCCAATAGGCAGTTTAGTATAATTGATCCTAATCATGCCGCTTATATGCCCTTACATTATGTTCTGCTATTTCCAAATGGTGAGAGGGGTTGGCATTGGGGCTTACGGCTGCGGGATGAGTTGAACCGAAGGAAGAATTTAAGGTTACAGCAACGCGAATTTTACAGGTTAGTTATAAACACCAATGGCTCAAAGACTTTTTGATATGGCTAACTTTTTGATTACTATACATGGTGTGCAGGTACCGACTGCATACCAGGACGACTGAACCCATGACTTTGTTCCTCTCGCAACGGCTATTTCAGCAGTATTTGGTAGATGCTTGGGCTGTTTGTGATCAGAATAAGTTGAATTGGCTTCGACTGAATCAAGCAAATATTCGGGCTGATCTGTACAATGGGTTGGCGGATAATATGCGGCAAGAGGACTTCAACTCGGAACAAACCGGGAAGCGTATCATTCTACCACGAAGCTATACAGGAGGCGACCGATACATGCTGCAGTTGTTCCAGGATTCCATGGCTATAGTCCGTCATTTTGGGCGTCCCTCACTATTTGTTACCTTTACCGCGAATCCAAAGTGGGAAGAGATTACTGCGGAGTTACTACCGGGGCAAACTGCTGTTGATAGGCCAGATTTAGTTGCAAGGGTGTTCCATCTCAAGCAACAACAACTCCTCCAAGAAATAAAGCGTAAACACATCTTTGGTCGCTATCTTGGGTCTGTATGGACCATTGAGTACCAGAAGAGAGAGCTGCCACACATGCATCTATTGATATTCCTTCATCCGGATGATCGCTTTCTGACAGCAGAGAGGATCGATGAAATTGTATGTGCAGAGTTACCGGACCCCGCGACTGATCCTACGGGGGAACTAAATGCAATCATTAGAAGTTGTATGGTATACGGTCCATGTGGAGAGGCCAATATGCGATCGCCCTGCATGGCTTCAAAGGAGAATGGGGGACCAACTGCATGTTCGAAACGGTACCCTAAGGCCTATCAATCAGAGACAGTTGTACAGGAGGATGGCTATCCACTGTATAGAAGACGTAATGATGGCAGAACCTTTTCAGTGGCAGTAAGGGGCTCAGGGTTTAATCAAGAGTATCAGATGGACAACAGATAGGTGGTTCCATATAATCCTTATCTTTCTTTACGGTATAAAACTCATATCAATGTCGAGATCTGTGGTTCTATCCACGCGATAAAATATATACACAAATATATATATAAAGGTTCAGATCGAACAACACTTCAAGTAGGGAGTGACTCGGATGAAATTACTAGATACCTCCAAGGGCGTTATATAGGACCCACTGAGGCTGTATGGCGTTTGTTCGAATACGGAATGCACGAAGAATACCCGTCAGTCATTCACTTGGCTGTTCACTTGCCCGGCGAGCAACCGGTATACTATGGAGATAACTCCAACCGGGAGGAGTTGATACAGAGGATGCAAAACTCGAGAACTACACTGATGGCTTATTTTGAGTACAATACAGAGCACGAGGATGGTACCCGGTATCTCTATCAAGATTTCCCGGTGTACTTTACCTATGACGCTAAATCGCGGAAGTGGGGATCCAGGAAGAGAGGTGTGGCTATTGGACGTATGTGGCATTGCAATCCTATGATGGGGGAGAAATACTATATGCGTCTACTGTTAACCGTTATCCCTGGCGCAAAATCTTTTGATTATCTAAAAACTGTCAATAATGTGCTGTATCCTACATTCAAGGCTGCATGCATTGCCCTTGGCTTATTGGACGATGATCAAGAGTGGGTGCAGTGCTTTACCGAAGCAAGCATATTCTCGAGCGGATATTCCCTCCGTACACTCTTCACCACTGCCTTGCTATTTGGCAACGTGACTGAACCTCTGCAATTATGGGATAAATTCAAGTCAAATATCTGCGATGACTTGCCCCGAGCTATGGAAAGAAACACATGTCTCATTATCCCCCCTGAGCTTCCGGATGCCCATCTGGACTATGGTTTCTACCTGATATCACAGATTCTTGCCGACTCCAACAGAACGCTTAACGACTTTGGGTTGCCCCTCTATATAGTGGATTGGAACCGAACAGGTGGGAACGAGATGATTGCATCAGAACTACGATATGATATGGTTGCGGAAGCGGCAAGTCTACAGTTGAGGATCGCACAACTCAATTCAGATCAGTTGGAATGCTTTAATACTATTACACACAGTATTGAAGAAGCTGCGTCCGCCCTATTCTTCATTCAAGGGCCCGCAGGTACTGGGAAAACGTTCCTATACAACGTTATCTGTAACCATTTCCGCTCCCAGGGTAAGATTGTGCTTTGTGTTGCCTCTTCTAGCATTGCGGCACAGTTGCTCCCTAGAGGCAGAACATCTCATTCCAGATTCAAAATTCCGATTGCTATCCATGAGGGCTCAACATGTGACATCAAACGGGGCAGCCTGTTGGCCGGTTTAATTCAAAAGACCGCGCTGATCATCTGGGACGAGGTACCTATGCAGAACAAGTATTGCTTTGAAGCGGTCAGCCGGACCCTGAATGATATATGTAGTGTGGGGGATGATTGCCTGTTCGGAAATATTCCGGTCGTACTCGGAGGGGATTTTGCTCAAATTTTACCAGTTGTGCAACGCGGTAATAGGGCTCAGATAGTGCAGGCATGCCTACAACGGTCTTCTTTATGGCAGCACTTCAAGATATTGAGACTCAAGATCAATATGAGGGTCCGCAATGGGGTTGAGAATGAGGCGTTTGCGGCTTGGCTTGGGCAGATGAGCCATGATTCCCGATGGTATGGTAGAATAACTCTACCACTATACATCCAGAGCTGTAAGACAATTGAAGACCTTTGTATGCATGTATTCCCGCAGCATATAATTGAATCAGCCCCAACAAATTACACCGCATTCTCGAAGCGGGCGATTCTGGCGATGAGAAATGATACAGTCGCTGAGTTTAATGATAGAGTTCTACAGCAAATTCAAGGCGAAGTGCACACGTACTATTCGGTAGACACTGTTGACAGTGGTAATTCAGAAGAGAATGCAAATCTACTACCTCCAGAATATCTGCAGGGTCTCAATCCGTCTGGCCTCCCACCGTCTATCATCAAACTAAAGGTGGGAGCACCAATAATTCTTCTACGCAATCTATTTCCAAAGCAAGGTCTCTGCAATGGAACACGAATGACGGTAACTAAGCTGGGTGTACGGTGCATTGAAGCCAAGATTCTGGGTGGTGAGTTTGATGGTGAGCCAAAGGTTATACCACGTATACAGCTTTCGTCCACTGAGGGAGATCTACCTTTCACATTAATGAGAAGGCAGTTGCCTATTCGGCTATGCTTTGCGATGACTGTCAATAAATCGCAGGGTCAATCACTGGATGTCGTTGGGGTTGACTTGAGGTCTGATCCCTTCACTCACGGGCAGCTCTATGTAGCGCTCTCGAGAGTCACAGATGTAGCTGGCTTGATGGTGCTGCAACGAGATGAGACGCCGCCGCAAACGGACAATATTGTATACCGTGAAGTGCTGCTGTAAAGAAGTAAGTCCCCTTAATCCATATTTTTATTGATACTGACTGTCGGTTAGGGTAGAAAGGACTTACACTGGAGCCGGTTGGAGGACTTGGGGGTATATGGTTGGAGGTGGTAGAAGGTGGATTTCTGTGTGGATGGTATGTATATGCCGCAAGGTGACAGTTTGGTATATGACACTAACGTTTATTATAGGTTTTCGGTAAGGAAGAGAAAGAGGGGTCGGTTACGGTATTGGATGTAGGATGGGGGGAATGCAAGAAGTTGGGGGATTGGGTATCGAATGGTAAGTATATATACCGATCATGTACCACCCAGAAGTGCTTACCAAATTATTAGCTAGAATGACTTATGGAAATGGTGGGGAGGATCCAGGCATGGAGGAAATAGGAGAGAAGGATAGAGTTGGATACGGGAAGGTGGGTGAAATTGCATAGTAGGTGGGAGGAAATATGGAGGAAGCGGGAAGGAATTGAGCGGCGGACTGTATTTAGTTAGCAATTTGTATTTTCTTTAGCGTGTATGTTTCTTAGCGTTTATCTGTCTTATTCCCTGTCTTATCGTTGTTTTGTAGCATGGTTTCTTTGTAATAGGGTGATAAAAAGTTGTTAAAAAGATATGCGATTAGTAGAAAAAAACTGCATCGAGTTACCCCGGTTATTTACACCATTCCCCGACTATGATCGTATGAATTTATTAATTTTGTCACAGACTGCCGGATGGAGTAAATAACCGGGGCATTACACTCTTGGATCGTTGGCTGTTCCCAGCCTCACCAAGCGGACAACCCTCTTCCCTATAGGAGGTATAAATACCAACATCTATAGGGTTATCAATGACACATCCTCTAACTAACGTCTGAATTTCACAGCTCGCGCTCCCGCCATGAGTTGAACCCATAGCATTGAGGACATGTATCAAATATTTACCACTAAGCTAAGTACCTTTCTTGCACCAGCAACTCTTTTGGACCCTAAATACCTTGCAAGTATTATTTTTTATTTTTTAATTTTTTTATTTTTTTTTATTATTATTTTTTTTTTATATCTAATTTAATATAATATTTCCGCTGCCTAAATTGCGCACACAACTCGCGGTCGCGAGGTGGCCCACCCCTAGTCCTGATGTACTGTTATGCTGGATTGCTTCCACGCAGTGCTCGACAAACAAACGGCCCCCACCAGAAAGCAACACATCTACAATTATTATGTAAATTCTCAACATACCACTACCTAATTGACATGCCTCACCGTGCACCCTGAGGCAGGAATAGATGGTAGTTGCTGGGAGACGTTTAATTATGATCAGAATCAAGGGTGAGTTAACAGATAAGCGCTATGTAGAATACATGTAGTACCCACTAGGTACTCTACATGAACAACACTGCACCAGTCAGTTTAATACGGTTGCAAGGTTGTCTTTTAGTAACAACCAATCTTTCACCGTCGATTGGGGAGGCGCTCAGTCTGTTGCTCTCTATAGCCGTATACCTAGCTTTTGGAGTGATTCTAAATATTTACATACATACAATGACCAACTTTTCGTTTGCTGGGAAATGAATATTTGCTACCTCAAAAGTTCGGAGTCAACGAGCCTATCTTTTTCCTGGCTGATGTTTGAACGCCGATCCTAGTTGCAAGATCGATAGAGTCCATAAAGCCACAAAGCAGTCATTGGTAAGTTATAAAATCTACCTATATACATGTATTCTATCGAAGGACGTGAGGAGGCCGGATCTCGATGCGTCAAGGCGTTTATGCGACATGAATGAGCGAGAATCGATAATAACATCCCATGGGGCAACATTAGACACATGACTCTGTATATTAAATGTTTTATAGCTTGAAGCAAATTTGCTACTATTCATATTGCGGTGTAGTACATGTGGTTATGTACATATAGTTATGTTAGCTATGTTCGATCACGTCGTAGCTTTATGGATTAGAGTCTTCACGTTCATTGGTAATTGCTATGGATTAAAAGATTTTGTCCACCGATAGAAAGCTTCGCCCCTTATGAACGTTAATCCAGCTTGGTAATTTAGAACACACGTGCACGTTGTGGGCTGTCTTCTGTATTCGCTAGAGTCTATTGTAGAGTCTACGAATGGAGACAACCAAACTGATCGAACGTAACGATGAACCAAACCAACGATGATAGTATTATGAGAGAGGTGACGACTAGGAGACAAAGAGAGATCTAAACTAGAGTAATCGTGCCCTATTATCTAGTGTTGTCTTTTCTGCTTAGTGATGCGCCATGCGCCACAACATGTGCACGTGTTTATTCACCAACCGTCACTCGCTTATCTATTGACCGGCAAGGATGCTGGTTGGACAAGTTACCCGGTTGACAGACTTATGTGCATTTACTCTGGTTTCATGAAATCAATTAACCAAACTTCAAACTACACCAAATTCAATGCTGCTTCGTTACGCACTAGACGTAGCTCCACTTTGGAACTCCTCAGAAGAGGTTCAAGAGCCCGGTTTTGATTCTTGTATATTTCTAACTGACTCTTGTACGCACAACCTTGCTAGTTTACCGAAGCTCTCAACCTTCTCCCAGCCCCAATAAGACCATCGGTAACAAAGTTCTACTTCCCCGCCGATCGCAAGCTTGCTCTTGGCTCTCAACTACTTCAGCGCTTTGTCGTTTCAAGAGTTTATAGCAATGGGAGGCCCAGTGCTGATATACCAACACTTTCCTCGATTTCGATAACTCGGGATGCCGAGAGCGGGCGACCTTCCTATCACAATCCCGCTGAGCTCCTAGAGAAGGGCAATGGATTGGTACTCAGGGACTACAACGTTTCGCACCATAACCCAAAGTCAAATTCTGATTCGACGCCGTGCCTTGTGATCCTGGTGGCACGTGTTACTGTCGCAACATTGTCTTCACCCCCTCTTAGGGTTGGAGTAGATCTGGTGCCTACGATCCACAACCGAGGCAACACATCTGCCGCAGACTTCCTGGAGACCTTTAGGGATTCGGATGTTTTTACTAAAAATGAGATACGGGCTATATATTCCCCGCCGCTGGAGGGAGATCGGGTCAAGATGATGTATCTACATTGGGCACTGAAGGAGGCATACTGTAAAGCTGTAGGTACAGGGTTGGTAACGAATCTTTTAGCTATAGATTTTAGACATGTTGAGCTTGATAAGGTAGAGCAGGGAGAGAGAGATACCCAGGTGAAAGTTTTTGTTGATGGAACCCAGAGGGATGAATGGATGTTGGAGATAGGGAAGCTATCCGGGGATCACTATGTTGCGATCGCCACAGATTCTTGGAGCGACGAAGAGGAAGCTGAGGAAACAGGAAAGTGGTCATGGATAGATTTCGGCAAGGATATATTAGGCATTTGGAGTTGAGCGTCAGAGTCTGGCTAAATATGGAGACAAATAGGACATTCTTCCCACTTTGAATAGAGCTGCATTTACCCTTTTTTCTTTTCTTTTAAAATATTCCATCAAAACTATATACGTAGCTAGCTAAAGATAAAAATGAAATCATTACTAATGAAGTTTTGGCGTAGATATGATAAGTGGGTATGGATACAGTCGATAAGTAGTATAAAAATCTAGATGCTTCCCTCATGTCCATTACTTTTCACCCATTCTTCTTTGTTGAGAAGTCTATGGAGCTCACCACGTCGCTCTAAAAGCTCCTCTAACTTCCCGCTCTCTACAACCTCCCCATAACTCATCACTACAACCTTCTCAGCGCACCGCATCATCTCCTGACTGTGCGTGATGATGATCACCGTCATCTTCTTGTCATAAGCCCCACCTTCATCGACCAGCCGGCCGATGGTGTTATGTATAACCCTCGCACTCTCAGGGTCCAGATTACTGGTGCACTCATCCAGCACCAGCACCGCTGGCCTTCTGACAAGAGCTCTTGCAATACCAACCATCTGGGCCTGACCCCCTGATATATGGCCCCCCTTGTCTCCCAGATATGTGTCATAACCATCTTGAAGGCCCTTGACGAATTCATGGATTCCAGCTGCCTTCGCTGCTCTCTCAACCTCCCAGCGGGTATAGTTGCTGCCGTAGGAAATGTTGTCGTGGACACTGCTATCAAAGAGAACCGCGGACTGCGAGACAATAGCCATCTGTGAGCGAAGGGATCGGATGCTGAGGCTTTCTATAGGGAGTGTGTCTATTGTGATGCTACCTGCCGAGTATGGGTAAAGACGTTGAAGCAGGGCTGCGACGGTTGATTTTCCTGAGCCGGAAAGACTATGGATACTATGTTAGTTCAAGATTGCTAGAATGACGGGCAGTTTTTTTTTTTTACCCTACTATGGCAATGCATTCCCCGGGCGTAACTTTGAGGTTGAAGTTTCGGAGTACAATGGTGTCTGGGCGAGTGGGGTATGCAAAAGTAACGTTGGAGAACGATATGGCTCCTCTAAAATCCAGCGTCCTGATACCCTCAATTTCATGAGAACTACGGGGCAGGGTGTAGAGTCTAAGCACACGCCGTGCAGTGTCTTTGCTATTACTTATCTGGGGAACTGTAGAGAAGTTAGACACCCGCGACAGTCAAATTGAAATAGGGACGTTACCAAAACCGACGATCGTATTTGCACCTGCCAATGAGAATAGCAGCAGACTGAAGACCGTAAGAACATGCTGAATGTCGTATAAGCCCTTCCCAATCAACACCGCACCGTACCAAAAGATTAAAGCTAAAAGGAAATCAGTATCACCAAAGAGCCAGGAACGCCAGAGACACACACCTGTTGCAAACGATACCGCGGAATCTGATAGCCCGTAGCCAACACCTGTGTAAATAGACCTTTTCACGCCTATTCTCAATGCCGCACGGGTAGCTTTCGCATACTTCTTCTTAAAGTATCTTTCGAGAGCAAGCCCCCTTACCGTCTTTATATTCGTGATCGTTTCATCAAATACCCCGCCAACAATCTCAGCTGCCTCATTGCTATTTTTCTCCCACTCATCCGAGATCCACGCAAAGGTCCTTGTCAGGCCATACATGACCGGCGCAATCGACAAGCCGACCATCGTCAATTGCCAGCTTTCCGTGAAGCTCCAGCCAACACCTAGAATCATGATAGTTGCACCGATAAATACATACCCAGCAAACCGCCCCAACAAGTCTCTCATATCCTCAGCATTCTTTTCCATGTCCTCTGTTACCGTTGCTACCAGGTTCTCGTCGAACCATACACGGGGCTGGTCAAGAATGCGAGCCAATGATTTTGTGCGCAGCGTATCTATCCAGGACTGCGCAACGGACTCTAGAAAGTAGTGCATCAAGTAACTGCTTATTGCGTCTATGACCGCAATGCACAAGATCACTACAGACCATTTCGCCGACTCAGAGGGCAAGTTCCCGTCCTTGAAGAACGATGAAAGAAGCCGCGCAAGTGCGTAGGAGAACGCTGGTGTTGCCGAAGCATGGAAAAAGGCCGCCGTGAAGCCGGTGACCAGCAAGAACCTGTAGCCAACGTTCAAAGAGGGCCATATCGTGGAGAATATCTGCAAGAGGGTGATCTGTTTCGCTTCAAACCTTCTGACAGGTCGTTTCCTGGGGGTTTCGGGGATTATGGAGCCAATGTCGTATGTTGGGGAATGGGCAGGTACGTAGTCAAAACGTGTCATCTCGGTATTAAGGCTTCTTTCAAGCAGCCGTGCTTGACGCTTTCTTCTGGTTCTTTTGGGGCTTGAAGGTTCTGCTCTACCTAGTAGTGACAGATTCTCTAGCTTGAAAGTGGACTCCTTGGTACCATCTAAAAACTCGTCATCTTGATCTTGCTCCGTCGAGCTTTCTTCCGAGATTGGGGCCAAAGTCCCATTAACTGGATAGCCTTCATTGTATACATCAGCAGCCATAAGCTCTTTGGCTCTATCATGATGGCCCAGTTCAATCTTGGGTGAGCCTGGTTGATTTCTTATTTCCTTTTTAGAGTCATACGCCGTCATAAAATCTCGAAATAGGCCGTCTACGCTACAAATTTCAGACCTGTATCCATTTTGGACGACCTTTCCATTTTCAAGGACGTAAACAAAGTCTTGCGGTTTAATCTGAGAGATGTCGTGGGTGATTATAATGGTTGTCTTGCCCCGCCGCCATGTGTGTATTGCTTCCATGACTAGTGATCTGCTGACATAGTCAAGGGCACTGGTAGCTTCATCTAAAATCAGTATCGGCGTATTTCTAAGTATGGCTCGCGCCAGGGCAACCTTTGAAGAGTCAATAATCTTTGGAATGTGAATCAAGCTTAAAATACGGTCATGGAATCTCACTCTTTGACGTTGGCCCCCAGACAACGCAGCGCCCCCAACACCAACTATGGTATTAGAGCCCAACGGAAAATTTCGGAGCGTTTCCTCAAGCATGGACATCCGACAGGACCGATGAACCTCCTCCCGGGTGGTACTCTTGTAGTCTTTCCTCCCGAATGCAATGTTACGGAAGATTGTCTCGTTGAACAGCACGCTCTCCTGCTGCACCATAGTGACATTACTTCGTAGCCATTCGTGGTCGATATCCTGGACGACGGTTCCATCTAGGGTTATAGTGCCAGATAAAGGCATATATGTTTTAAGAATGAGGTTTCCAAGGGTGCTTTTCCCAGAGCCGCTTTTTCCTACAATGAAGGTGGTCTCATGCGATGGTATAAAGATACTGGCTCCATTCAGTGCCAAATGACAAGGGCGTGAGGGATATGCAAATGATACCTAAGAAGTCAGTATGAATCTAAAGAATAACGGGGGAGGGAGGGTGTTTTAGAGTTACATTTTTGACTTCAATCTCGCCTTGACAGCTCTTCGGGATGATCCCGCCCTTCATATGGAAGACCCGCCTCCCTCTCTTGAATTTCACTAACAATGCATCGAGGCCTGCACCTGCAGCCCTCCCCTTCTCCAAGACTATCATCTGCGGCAAAACCATCGAGAGGGCCTGCGTAGCCATCAGGCACGACCAGAACGTAGTCATCACATCCCCCACAGATGCCTCTCCCTGCCTAATAAGGCGCCCACCGTACCAGAAGCCTTGCACAAACATCGTCAAGATCACAAGCCTTATAAAGCCCACAACCATGGCATTGCTATGCGCCTGTTCTCTGTACGCCCGTGCGGCCTTCCCCGCGGCCAAGGCAAACACATAGCGCTCGTACTGCTGGCCGTTGAACGCTTTTACTGTCTCGATTGCCGTGAAGGCCCTATTTACGATTCGAGTGGCTCTCGAAAGGTGCTCTTTCTGCGTGTCGATCTGCGTCTGGATGCGGCGCGAGACGACGCTGAGGAATATGAACGCCAGCGGTACCCCCATCAGCACGACGAGGGTCAATGACCAGCACGTCGTGATGGACACGAAGAGACACACCGTCGCCGTCACAAGCGCTTGCAGCGAAAGTCCCAGTGGCTGCGACACTGCCGTCTGGAGCTCCTTCGTCTGCCTATCATCCGATCCATTCTCAGTCAATAAAAACTACCAGAATAAAAAAGGCGGTGGAAAGGTTTCAAATATCCATACGTTTGCACTCTCGCCAGCAGCCCCGCAACTCCATTCCTCCTCATATCATACCACTGCATATCTTTATCCACCAGCCCCTCAAACAAGCTCTTCCTCGCCCCCTCCGCCTGCAACTCCCCAAACACGCCCCACGAGGCATAAAACGCCCCACCAAGGCACCAGCTCGCGGTCCCCAGCGCCGCCAGCTGTACGGCGAACACCCTCACCTGGTCCACGAGCTCATTGGCGGGCATTAGGTCGGCGCCGAAAGTCGCAAAGGCGTTGAACAGCCTGCCGAGGATGATTGCCGTGGCGGGAATCACGAGCCCGTTGAGCAGGGCGAAGAAGACGGCGGCGGTCAGTGGGAGTATGTGTTTTCGGTTGGTGAAGGTGAAGAGGGAGGACCAGCTGTGGTTGCTGTGGTCTTCGTCGTCGTATTCGTCGTATTCGGTGTCTTGCCGTTGGGGGCGTGTAGGTATCATGGTATTTTTCTTCTTCTTCTTTTGTTTTCCTTCTTGAAGTTTGAATTTGAATTTGAATTTGAAGCTCAACTCTGTATGCAGCGATATTATATATCGATTACTAGCTAGTTTAATCGCTGGCCCAAAGTTTTAGGATATCTAGCTATAGCTATCTAGCTACTCCCGTCAAAGGTTTGTTCTGCAGAAATTAATAACGAGCATGACCAAGCTTGCAATGGGTGAAGCTCAAAGTAAGCCATTTAAAGGCAAAAAATAAAAACCAAAATTAAAAGGGCCATCTCATGAATTATATGCATAGAATTGAATTTTCCTTGGCCCTACTCACTGCACCGTATTTGGGGAAAGTCTTGATATTGTGCCCCTCTCTTAGCATTGTGACGTTTTTTCATTGTCTTGAAATATAAGGTTCTGTTTATGATTGGCTGTCGTGTGTTGTAGTTTAGTAGCCAGGGTTAGGGGCGGGCGAATATTTGGATTGATGTGAAACATGCATCGGATGGCCTCTGCATGCCAGACCTGCACATGGCGCAAAGACCAACAACGACCGTACGTGCATGCACACCTCGCGGAACGGGCGAGTGACCCCCACGATGTCCCCGGAAGGGAGGAGCAGAACCCGCCATGAAGCCGGCGGTATGTACATACTTCCTCACCTAATCCCCCCTGCCAGTCCGCTCATTTCCGGCGCCGACCGAGTCGATATACCGGTCTCTCATCTCCCGGACCAGTCGAGGTCCGGGGCGTAAGGGGTGGGCCAGGCTGCGGTTCGGTTACGGCGCGGCCGCTCTTAGATTGACCCAAGCGCGGGGACCTTAGCTACTCTACTTCTTCCTCCGAATCCATATGAACTCGGCCGCCGCACTTCTTTGTAGACAACCGGCCGGGCCTTTAGTCTAAACGTTACTAGCTCTTCACGCTGAGCCCGGCATGGCTGAATATTAGGCCCGGGCTCGAAGCGTTCCCACTGACGGCCTGTTCGCGAATAATACGGAACGAGTCATAAAACATGCGCTTGCTGTGAAAGCCATGAAAATACTATGTTTTGCATTCTTTGTAGGCTGTGCGGTAGTCAGTAACAAGTCAATTGTCTCCTTCATGATAAGACCGAGTGATATATCATGATTAAACATCTTTATTAGTACTACTCTGCCAACCATGATTCACCGGCTTGTTTTAGCGGGCCATAAATTGCGTACTGTTTGACGTATATCGTCTAGCACCGTATGTACTAATAAACGCCCCATACTTAGAAGCAGATGCTGCATAAAGACATTCGCTAGTTAGTTGTGTAGTGCTAATTATGATTTTGCCACCATCGACAAGGGCATCGCTCTCCTGATGTGGCTCAATAATTGAGCGAAATCCTGAAAGATATATGCAAGCTATCCATGGATGATGCTTTCTTGGATAGTAGTAGGTGCACATTAACTGCTGCTTAGGGAAAGGGTAATATGTATATAATAGTGACCTCTCATCCAAATCATCTATCTCAATCATTTGGATTTTCTAGTTTTTTTCGTAGTAAATGAGTAACTGTAATCTATTTTTAATGGAAATAAAACGCTACCAATCCCTCTCCGGGATATTAGATAGATACTTGCTCACCAGCAAAAGAACCAGAAAATGCGATTTCTCGGGGTAATGATCATCTGAACAGAGTGGCGCCATTCTCTCATACAAAAACCCCGCCTTGGAAACTTTCATTTTCCGCTTCTTTCATTGGTAAGCAAGTAATCCATAGAGCTAAACATCACACCTACCACGGCCAAAGAATTCCCGCGCCACAGGATCCAAATATATGCACCTTTACCCTCTGAGGACTCGATCAGCAAGGGACCGTAGATATCGGAAAATCAACGTCCCGCAGCTAGTAGAATGCCGGCATGTCGATCATTTCCCCCAGCTAGCCATGCGAGGTACACATAAACCTCGGCTCGATCAGGGTGTGTATGCTTTAAGATAAGCATCAGGGCTTTATCACGCGGCTAACCACTTGATAGGTATCTTTTAAGCATGCGCAAAAGAAAGGATAGTGTGGCCTAGGTATGTAGCTTTTAAGCATAAGGAAGTCTAGCCTCCGGCAGGTATCCAGCTGCCTGCAGGTGGATGCCCTCGATTAAAGTAGAGTAGGGTCTTGATTGCGCAAAAGGGCTCCAGCTCTAAACTTCCGAAGGAGAATCGGCACCAACAGGCTACCGGGAAATTAATTGGAGACTGGCTCTGTTTGTGCAAAGACTCGATTTGGGGGGCTGCATTGCGGATCTAAAGGTAGTTCGCGTTTGACATATAGCTAGAAAACGCATTTATGGGGACTATGCCATTTCCAGATAAGGGCTAAAGATAGGTGAAATAGATTCTATCTGGACTACCCGGTAGGTAGTTGCATCTTGACATCAGTAGTTTCTACGTACATAAGTAGTTGTGCCTTAAATCCTAGCTCTACATAGATCTATTCTTTGATAGGGTCCTAGACCCTCAATCAAAGATCAGCAAGGGTCCAGTACTAAGGTAGTGTTCCGAAACAGGCCTAGCTTGTCGGTAACGATTAATGCCTACTAAAGTCTAGATTGTCCCCGCCCTCCCCGCCTCTTCCCCACATAGCTAAAGCGGGTTGCCGCGTCTCATCCTCTCATTTTTTGCCGCTTGAGAGTTCGTTGCCGCTTCATGCTCCACTCTTATCACTTGACTTGAAGCTTTTTTATGTCAGGTAGCAAAACTCTACTGGCGGCAAGCTTTTAGTAGGCATTATTAGACAGATCTTATTCGGCAATCTCGGCTTGGATTTAATCTTGTCTGATCCGTACTCGATGATTTGGAATTTTGACGCAAGTGAGGGTTAGGTCGATCGGTGGCCAGAGCTCGCATAATGAGAATCATTAACTTTATATTGGCCCTTCTTATGCTGCGCGCATAGGATTTAACAGTTATTCTTAACAATTTCCATGTCGGCTATGAGTTATCTATCTAGAGAATTTATGTATGGTGCGCACACTCTTAAAGGTGATGGGGTGGCATACGGAAGATACAGAAGTGGAACAATTGTGGCTGCAATATGGCCTCATGGGCCAATAAGAGGGCCCATTTCTAGCCTTCTGCTGCATCACTGCCATGGCCTGATCAGGTTTGCTTCTTTAAGGGTATAAATGGGTATAATACTGTTCCACTTTGTTTAGTCTTGGCGCTTTTTACATACTAAAATACCGAATTTCAAGCTTGAATAACTTTTTAACCAGGAGAGATATCAAAAATCTGGTTGGTAAAGTTCTTCTTCATCACTAGTACTTCAATTTTACCAACCGGATTTTTCATAATTTGTTTCGTTGGAAAGTTATTCAACCTCGACCTCGCCCCAATTTTTTGACTACCTTTATGATTGGGCGCACCATAATTGCTAAAAACATTTAAAGGTCCGGCCAGAAAGATGCATTTTCAACAGCCCGACAACCGATCTAGAAAGTCGTGATAGAATTTGACATGGGTAATTTCTTGTGCGTGACACTGTAAAGCAGGCCCAGTGGTACACCATGGGGCTATATAACAGTTGCTGACTGTTGTTGGTAAACATAATATAATATGTGGCCCTGCAGGCGGCTACCGTTCACGGCGGTGTAAAGTAACATGCCCATATGCGGCGTCACTGTGGAGTGAGGGGGTTATGAAACGGAGCGCAGAAGAGAAAACGAGAATCCAACGGGTCAGCTTCTTTCCCTCCATCGGTAGTTGTTTTCTGGTGACGTCCTGGTGTCAAGAACCGAGACCACGGTACACGGTATTACTATGTGCCCTGAGCATGAATGAAATTTAAAGCCGCAAAAATGTATAGGTAAATGGCCCTGGGACATAACTAGCCTAAATCGAGATCGTCAACTGACGTATCCGCTACATATCCACTAAATATAGTAGGGGTAGAGAGTATTTAGAGGAAAGGTGGAAATGTCTTCAGTACTAAAGGGTGGATCTTAACTCATGTTGTACAGTCCTACCCAACGGTCACCCCGCGAACCCACTAATCCAAATACCCTGGAGAGATTAATGTGGACACCACTAAACCAAATACGAGGGGAAAACTCGTCTGATCTTTGTGATTGGTGAACGATTTGCAATGGCTTATCCAGGGGGTGGTGCGGTTAGCTACACGAAAGGATAGGGCTGAGTTCTCAGGGTGAGGTTATGCTGACATGTTATTAGTAGCCCGGACCAAAAGGTCCCCACACTGGCACACTGGCACACTGGTCCCGTGGTGGTACCTTCATCCATTCAGGACTACCCTTGTACATGTGTATCCCCCCCACACAGGGCACAGGGAATCGGAATCCGGAAGGGGGGCAGATGTGAGAAAATGCTGTATCTATATAACTATATCATGCTTCGTCCAGACATGATTCTCGTCCTCAATCATTCCCAACACCAGGACAGGACTTGAGCCTCGATGACTCCCGACGAACTACGAGTGCTACCTGGTGGAGAGGAGCCGATCCCAAGGAATGGAAGTTGGGGGGGTTCACGGACGGGCTTCTATCCACCAGGTTTTGTTCATCCAGCAGTCGGGAGTGACCCCTACCCTTGGGAGTATGAGCCAGAGAACAAGGCGGAATATTTGTTTGCGTTGACCATTGTAATGGTGGCGCTTTCAACGTTGGTGGTTGCTGTGAGGATTGGGTCTAGGGTTATGCTGAGAACGTTGGGCGTGGATGATTGGCTGATTATTGGTGCGACGGTGGGTGCTCCCTCAAACCATGCAATGCCATTCGATGTTGTCATCGACTAACTCTGGTGTAGTTAAATACCATAGCAGTCGGTGCAACAATAATCATTGGTGTTGTTAGCGGCGGTGCAGGCGTACATTGGTGGGATCTAGAATACCCCGAGTTCAAAAAGGGACGAGGAATTGTCAGTATTAAATCAAACCCATACCATCATAACAATTCGATCTGATTAGAATTAAAGTTTTGGGGTTTATAGATTATGAGTTTCCATGGCGCTATCTATGCTACAGCTGTTCTCTTCATTAAGCTGTCAATACTATGTTTTCTGAGGAGACTGTTTGCAAACACCTCAGGATGGATGACGAAGCTGATAATGCTCTACATCGTCGTTAATATCATCTTTTTTGTGACGAGCTTTTTTTGCTTATTCTTTTTGTTAGCATCTCCAATACCATGATTTGATCTGGTAATAGTACTGACTATCATACAGGAATGCTTCGTTCGGACTTCTTTATCCTCTGGGTGGTGTGCACCTGAGCTTGGAGATTGCAATATTGATACTCCCCATGAGAATGGTTTGGCGACTGCAACTTCCATGCACCCAGAAGATCATTTCAACTCTGATCCTAGGACTTGGTGGAGTGTAAGTCCTCTCTCATCACCATTGGTGCTATAGCTACCACTCAGTCAGTATTAACAATCTCGGATTATACAGCGTTTGCATAATATCTGTACTCCGCCTCTACTATTTCTACACGTATATTACCTCCTTCGACGCCACCTGTTAGTACTCAATCTAAACTCTCCCCTAGGCCTTTTTCTATATACTAACTATATACTACTAAACTAGACAACGCCACTTACATATACTTGTACAATCTCCTCGAATGCACGCTAGGTATTTTTACCTCATCAGCCCCGTCAATGAAGGCAGCGTATACGCACTTCATGAAGCCTCGGGTAGAAAGGGGCTCTAATGAAGGCATTCTAGACGGGGATGGGTCAAGAAATGCATCCCAGGAAGGTTTAGATAAGGGGGTTGGCTGCGCTAGGATGGCGGAGCGGCAGGATTATGACGAAGAGGCTGCGTTGAGGCCGATCCAAGCAAGACTTGAGATAGTGCGTTCGAGAGACGAGATATTTTTCCCCGAATCTGAAATTCGGACTAGTGTATTATTACCGGATCTTCCACATTGAGCAGTGCTCTTTTTTCATTTGTTAGTTATTGGGACAGCGGGTTTTGTTTTTAAACTGGGCGGTTACTACAGATATATAATGATACCATGTAACTAATAGTCAGGAGTATATAGCCTTCAGCTACTACAGCATTTGAGAGATATAATGCACCCGACAGGATTTGTGTATTGAGCACATTACATAGCACATAGCGAGTTATCTTGAATAAAGCTTACGGGACACTGAGTCATCATCCGTGATTCAACGCGCTGAAATTGAGTGATTTCTTATGATTCAACCACTCTTTGGCCGCATCCCCTGATGTTGCTCCCGGGTCCACTCTCTCATTCCTTCGTTATTCTGTATTTCTATTTAATCAGGCACCAGTTCCGTAACTGGTTTCATGTACAATGTACCGTTAGATCTATAGAACGTAAATTAATTGCTGGTCCGTATTTGAATCGGAAACAAGACGTAGCATGCAGTCGATAGGTCGCAGCATCTAATGACGATGCATTGATGCTGCTTTATTTAGAAATATACGTGTAATTCATTTAGTTGTCCACTCTTTTATATAAAGCACGAAATGAATTAAAGTGAAAAAAAAACGAACGTACACCACCTACGTAAGCGAGTGATGTGTGATGATTCGAATGTATTTAACAACTGAAACCACTGAATAAAATAAAAAAAGTGCCAAATTCAAACAAAGGAGATAAAACATCTGCATTCATTGAGATACATATATTGATACTGTATTAGACGCTGGTCGGCCCCAGGAAGTGCTCTCCCCACTCAAGAAGGAGCTGCTTGTACCGCAGTGATGGGACGTTGTCATCGTCAACCAACCCCATACATGCACACATGCACTGACAGCTAGCTGCATAGGACATTTCGATTTACGTCGTACCTACATGTAACTACTTTTTTATCCATCTAGAATTCACCCTTGGTAAAGAATGTTTTACCAGTTGGGCTGATCTCGGATTCCAATCAGTCTCGTGCGCAGAAACTGTAAGGGTGATTCCGGGAGGCAATGACAACTCTCAATCCCAGGAAAGAGGATAGGTTGCCAGTGACGAAGTTTCTCGGATACTTGGTCATGCATATCTTGGCCCATGCATTAGTTCATGGCTCAACAACGGTCATGAATTCTGTCATATATGTGGTCTGAAACAAGGAATTCACAGGAGAGCAATTTTTTTTCATTTCAACTCCTCTTCTGACGAAGACCCTTGCTGAGACGCATCCTCGAACCTAGCGGTTATCTTGTGCATCTGTGACACCGCATGTATGCATTATACCGCCACGATCAGATCAAAAGGCGGTATTCTCGCTTCAGGGGAAAATGCAGGTAGAATATCGTGTACTATGTAGCTTGAGTACCATAGGTTAGCTTATTCTGCCTACTCTAGAATGATCTGAAGGACTGTACACACATGTATATACTCGCAGCAGGTAACAAGTACCCGAAAATGCACGTCCTAATCTGCAATTTCCATTGGAGTAGAAGTCAAAAATACACCAAAAACTTGCAGCTGCATATTCGGGTACTTCATGCCTGTCGTGAGTAGATTATATCCTATACCCTTGCATACATGTACTTGCATGAGTACACATGTACCTACATGTACCTACTCTTGATGACTTATTTCCAGCTGGTCCTAGAAAACGTCAGAATAGGTGGTTCAACATAAATTTCGCCGTAAGTTCGAATACGTACTTAGGGAACCAACATAATTAAAGTGAACATCGGTATCCGCCCTTTAAACTAAGAACACATACGAGGACTCAATAATACGTCCATCCAGGGAGTCGCGAATTATCTAGTTGCATGTATTTATAAATAGACGTACTGCCGTTTACAACTGAAGTTCCCATTGACGTTCGCTTGAGCTTTTAATTCTCGCCGTCTCCCGGACGGATACGTTCTCTCCTGTCAATTTCAAGCATTGATATGAGCAGAAAGAATACGTAGGTACATGTGTTAGTAGTAATAGCTCAGGTACCGATGTTATTGAATTTATGGCGTTGTATGAAAACAGGGTACTGGGGAGGAACATGCATGCATGTGCATGCCAGATACTCTAGATACAGGTATGGTAGCACAAATTGCCGAGCTGATGTGAGCTGGGATTGAAGCTGAAAATACTCGCTAGATACGATTAGTACCAACCGGGTTTTGACCCGGATTCGGTTGTCGACGGGCAGGTTGCGAATCAGAAAACCTGTCAAAATTGAAGCTTGAGTCAAATAGGGGACGGTTGTGATTTTGTCCCCTTCACCGTTGCTAGTCCGCCTTGCGATCCGCCCGGTCATTAGGTATTTGCAGTATGGATTTTGGACGTTCTTTCTTTTTTAATGATTTCATGGCTATAATCGCAGATATTATGCATTGGCCAATCGGTCTAGATTGTGGCGACATGCATCGCAACTCTACCTACGTAGGATGTAGTAGAGTTGTTGTAGGTGAAGTTGCATCATTCTGCTGTGTATTGTAGCTTCAATTACTTGGAATTCCGAAAAAAATGTGTGTGTGAAATCTTGGGAGAATACTAGAAAGCATCTCAAAAGTGCAAATTGAAAGGAAGCAGGCAATTTGAGTTGATGCCGGCTATGACGCGTAGGCTGGATGACAATTGCGCACCAGACATATATGCATTGTTGCCTAGTATCGTTCCGATTCCTGCACTACGTAAAGCACAAACTACATGTATTCTTCTCCTTCTTGCCATTGTCAATATGTTCGTCCTCGAGCCCACGGGGGATCGATTTTTTTCCTGGACGTAAACTATACTGCAGCGCTCCCTCAAACCATGAGAAGTGCGCAGTAGATAATTTATTCTACGATGGCAGTTTCATTGATGGCACATTACGTACGTATACATATATATACGCCATTATTGTACTGCCACTTTCAAAAGCAAAGACCTGAAACCGCTAAAAAAAAAAGAGGAACTCTTGTGAACTAGACCAGATTACCATTTCATTTCATGACCGTTTGGAATACACACATATATGACAGTGTCACGTGCATGCATGCATACATGTATGCACAAGTGCGAATATGCACAAGTGCGAATATGCACAAGTGCGAATATGCACACCTAGGTGCGCACCCACCAACTTCATAAATGGTAGGCTGTGGAGGTGGCCCTTCATTTCTCTTCTTCGCTCATCCCAAATCCAATTTGACAGAACGCAAAAAACGTAAAAGTCACTTTCATTCTTAACCATTGCCTCGCCGCTCATTTCTTCTCCGAAGACAAACCATTCAGCAGAAGCTAGAGAGATCCGATTGTGAATAGAGTAGCTTTAGAGAAGCTTGACTCAGTCACACAAAGTTTGAATCCTGGTGATTTACAGGTACATACGCATTCTTACACTTTTTATTGACTAAGTTTACTAACTCCTAATTCAGTTCTTGATACGTTTAGCAGGTCTAACTCTCGAGAGTCTTTGCCCTAATATTTCCCATGGGTCTTCTACTCGACTTACCCAATGAACTCCTTCTCTGCATATCAACATACCTTGAAGAGTCGGGGATAGGCTCTCTCTTAAGAACGAACCGCCGGCTCCGGGAACTCTTAACGTCAGAGCTGAATCAGCATGCAACTCAAATTTGTCGCAACGTTTATCGTCGAGGAAACCTCAAAATCCGCTGCACACTTCACTGGGCTGCCTGGAGGGGTCATGAAGCACTGTTCCAGCTACTCCTCGACAAAGATGTCAGCATCGAATGTCCGGCCGACGCCCATCACTGCCATAGTCAAGAAACGGTCCTCCACTTTGCCGCTTTCCAGGGCAGTGAAACTATCGTGAAGCTCCTGTTGGATAAGGGAGCCAACATCAACCAGACAGACGAAACCGGGACAACAGCACTGCACTTTGCTGCCATGAGAGGGAATGAGGAAGTTGTCCGCTTGCTCCTGGAGAACGGAGCGGAAGTAACAGCAGTGGATGGGGCGGGATTGTCGATCATGAGCAAGGCCTTGAAAAGCTACGACCATCACCGGACAAAGAGGAATTTAAATGTTTTTAAGCTTCTGCTTGAGAATAAGGCGGATATCGACGCGAGGGATAAGGAAGGTGCGACTGCATTGCACCTTGCAGTCAAGCATATGGATTTGGAGATCTTGGATATCTTACTAGAGTCAGGTGCGAACCCGTACATCAAATCGAAAGATGGAGAGACAGCACTCGACTGGGCATTGATCCAGACATTTGATAAGATACCCGAGGAGAGACTCGAGAAAGCATACCATGTGGTTAGGTTTCTACAAGAGAAGAGGTTAATTCCGACTTTGGGAGGAAAGTTCTACGATGTGAGGAGACCCAGGGGGAAACGCGAGTATTGGAAACTGGCATGCGGAAGCGGCATCAAGAATCAAGCCAAATCAATAATCAAAACTTGGACTTTTCAAGCCTGTCCAACCGAAGCAGCGGGGAGATATTATAGGCAGCAGAAGATCAAAGCGAATCGTGCTTTCAGAGGCACTACTATCAACTATTATAATTACAACCTATAATCCTGGTTGCATTTATAATTCTTTCCCTTCTTCATTTCCCAACTCACTATTCCCCTTTAATCTTTGTTTATCATCTTTTTATGATCTCAATTTACGACCGAAGCTGGATCGAGCACGTATTTATCACTCATTCTGTTAATCTCTTGTTTAATTAATCTACCTTCGTTTCTTCAGTTTTATATTTCGTTTATTTCTACTACTGGCTGGTTAGGTTTATTATTTATTAAGTCATGTCCTTCTTTTTATTCGGATTTAGCGTTTTATTTCCTTCTTTCATTCTCCATTTTCTTTCTTTACTATTTGGTTATGTCATGACTCATGATTTACGAATTACGAAGCTTACAGAGGTTACAATTTGTCATTTACGAGTCGAGGTCCGTAGGACGCTGTCGTCGATGTTGCGTTTGTCTTCCTAGTCTACACTACGTTGGCTTGGATATACACCCATAAACATAACGCATATACCCCCCCGCCCTCAAAAAAAAAAGATATCCGTCAGGACTTATTTCTCTTCTTTCTATCCTGACCAGGATTGGGGCCTAGTCACCTGCTAGTCGGGTCGAAACGATCTTTTCGAAGTTAATCTCTTATTTTTTAATTTCATATATCCGATCGCTAATATTTCATAATTTCGAGTGATTATGAGGGCATGAGAAATCAACGGTCCATTGGTTCTACGAATCGGACGAAGGAAATGGATTGGATGGACAGGAATTCGCCGATATGATTTTTTTCTTCTTCATATTACGTTGCTTTATTCTCTTAGTTATACCATATAATCATGAGCAAGAACGCATACATGCCTTTTATTTGTTTATCTCTTAGTATTTGCTCTTTCCTCTTTACTTGGTGATTTGATCATTTCCCTAGTTATTAGATGTATGCAAGGTTGCCTTTGAATCTAGCTATATACGCACTAGTAGCTTTCTTTACTATTTCTAGGTTTATTTTTTTTTAAGTTTTTCGCTGTTCTATATCTTCTTTGATTCTATAAAAATCTGTAACTCAGAGACAAATTAAACGTTTTTTTTTTTACTCATAGATTGTGCATGCATGTGCCTAACCTTTCTCTTTAGTAGTGCCGTTTTAAACCTTTATCCGGATCCAGTTCAACCTTTAAGATAGAAGAGAAGAATGAGACCGCATCCGAAAAACTTATAAAACCCCAAAGACCCTTTTCGAAATCCCTAACTAACTACAGATATTTTGAACTTCAAACTCCACACGCTTATAACTCGCAAAAATAAATAAAAGTAAAGGAATAATAATGAAATAAATCTATACACAAAGAAAAACGAGCTAGTCTTGTGTATGAGGCCTCTATGCTGATGTAGAAAAAACACCTCTAAAGAAAATAAAATGGTTTCCAAAGACGCACACATGATCTAAATCTAAGAAGATATAAAGCGTTGTTTAGCTTTTTAAAAAAGAGAGAAAAGGAGGGATACAAAGGGGAAAAGTAAGTTATATCTCTCTATTTTATATATGATTTTTTCTTTATTTCCCGGGGTTAAGAAGTTAATATCTCTGGCCGAAACCTTGTGGGACCTTTGGGCGTCCAAAATTTTGATCGAGATCCTGATTCACAATTAGTCTCAGATCCCCAATATATTCAGTTGAACTTACCATGATGATCTTCAATGCATTCCGGCTTCTGAGGTAAGGCATAGGTGCACTCTGTTCTGCCATCCCGATAGCTGGTATGATTCCACCTGAGAGGCTTTCTGCGTTCTGCTTCTCTTTCCCAGCCGTTGGGAAAATGTTTTGCAAAAGCTCATACGCAGCCAGGGTCGCACCAAATTGGGGCGAACTTCGCAGGATCCTTGCAGGACCTCCCTTAAAGAAGGCTTTAAACCCTTCTTCTTTCCAGACCGTTGTAGCGCAGTGGATCAAACCACGGTAATGGGTCTGTCCCTGTCTGGCCTCGACCTGTAAACGAGTTTTGATGACATCGCAGGGGGTGGTGAAGTATGCGGCAGGCATACCGGCGATTGCACCAGCAGCCAATAATTGAAGAATTCCAAGTTTCTTAGTAGGCGATTCGCCAAAAAAGTCGGTTTTTAAATGATTGTATGTTGGGAAGTAAATCGCTGAGAACGGGACATCACGGAGGAGACATGCGGATGCTCCCTTGTAAAGACCGATCAACCCAAGATTTTTGACAATCCATAGGGCTGAACGGCGAGGAACTCCTTCAACATTTTTGGCGACTTCTCCTTGAACCTGAAGACGGATTTTTACGATTTCAAGGGGGCTTGAAATGGGTTAGCCAAAGGCCCAGATACTACACAATATTGAAGCGAAAGCGAAGAAATGGATGTGAACTCGCAAAGCAGGAAAGTCATATCTCACTTTGTAAAAACGACCTGGCAAGCGCCCGCACCCCCTCCCGCAAGGAGCTCCCACGGAAGGGTGATCTCGCCGTTCTTATCCTTCGCCTTCGATCTGACCAAGTCATTGACAGTGAGTTTGATAGCTTTCTCTGGCGCAACACCCTATATTCAAAATAATCCATTAGTACCTCCAATTATCTGATCAACACATGACTATACATAACCTACAATCAATTGTGGTCCCAGGCCACTGTACAACCCCAAAAATCCCTCGTTACGAATAACCTTCTTGGCGCAATCTAAAGAGTTCTTGTACATAAGCTCACCCACAACCTTGCTTCGTTGGTTCTGCATCCGTGTCTTGACAAGGTCAATGGGGTAAACAATAGTTGCACCGAATGCTCCTGCGAGTGACCCAAGGGCAAAGTTCTGAGCTGCATCTAGGGCTTGCCCAAAAAAGCCTCGACCGTGGGTGACCGAATCAACTGTAGGAAGAAGTCCCTCAGTGGGAGGCAGTAACCCAGAAGTATCGAGCTTTGGCCCCCGCCATGACGGGTCAAGAACACGTGTAAAGTCCTTAAGCCCCAAACGGCCGGATGTTGTATCAAGACCAGCGAAATGGAACAGGATATCGGCCTCCATGGGTGTGAAAAGAGTGAATCTAGCGACCTTTGCCGCTTCGTTTAGGAAATCGGTGCGGGTGATCTTCCCGTCAGCAGATTTGGCGGTAGCATTACGCACAATTAAGTCGACCATATCCATTCCTCGAACAATGTTCTGGAATGCACGAACATTGGCATAGCTGATCTTGGACCCGACAGAGATGTTGCAAAGTGTGTGCAGATTCTCAAGAAGGTGGTCACTGAGCTTGTGAGCAGAGGTTTCGAGGATTATTCGTTGGAACTCCTCTGGTTCGATAAAACCAGTACCCCTTTTGTCGAAATAGTGGAAAGCCTGCCTAACACGTTCCCCCTGGAGCCCACGGAGCATCTGTGAGAATTGGGGGTACGTCAGGTCATGACGCTTGTTCTTCCCCCCGAGGTAAAGAGACGCCCACATGCTATTCCAGTCAAATGGAATATCGGAAGGGTCCCTGTTGGCTGTACAAAGTTTAATAAATTCATCATACTTTACACTGCCTTTACCTTCGACATCGAATAGTCTAAATGCAATTTCATATTCGACATCTGGCTTCGCAAGAAGGTTCTCGAAATTTGCCCAATCGTGGAGATTGACAATGCCTTCTTTGCGGCGATCGGCCACCTCAAACAAAATCAAGTACTGCTCCCTCTTGATTTTATGATAATCTTGGTCCGGAGGTGCAATGGCCGAAACAAAGTCCTCTTTGGTCATGTAGCGCTCCCCCGAAGGAGCGGTATGGGACGCATACTTGTCGAAGGTTTTCTTTGCTTCATCGGTAAGCAGAGCAGGTTGCTCGCTACCTACGAGGGATTCTTTGATGGCTTCCTGAACTGTAGCCATTTATCTCAAGATGGGTAACTGAGAATCGTACGTTTTAAGACTGAGCGAATTGGCGTTGTGGAACTGTCCACAGAGCTGCAAGGGACGGTTGCTTCCGATGACTCTTATAAAGCGCTCCCGAAAGAAAAAAAAAGTAAAAAGATTGGTAGTGGAAAAAAGAAGTGTATTGAAGTCACAGCAACAGAGGAAACGTCGAAAACACTAGCAATCCCGAAATGCAGGTGCTGTAAAGATTGAGAGGAGCCTAAGATAGGAAGTGATTGAGGAATGAAAGGAGGAAGAGGAGGTGTAGGCACGGTAAGAGTCTAGAGAGCGGGGAGGGAAAAGGCGGAGGGGTTGAAATTCCGGGGGTGGTTAAACAGAATCCGGGGGCTTCGTTTATTAGTGGATGCAGAGCTTCTAAAATCCCACGCTAAAAGTGGAACGGAGACGGGAAGTCTTGCGTTTGTTTCTGGTGCAAAAGAAAAATGATCTATGGCGTGGGATGGTGCTCGAGAGGGGGGACAGTTCGCAAGCTGAGATTGGATAAGCTCACTAATCTCGCTCAATCTGAAGACACCAGAAAACAGATTGTTTTGAAAACGTCCTCTGCTGTTTGGAATATCTAATATCAATTTGTCCTTTTGTTCTTAATAACGAGGTTAATGCCCACCGGAGCGTCGTTATTGGTGGAATATGTGTGTGTTTTTTTCGGTTTTTTTTTTTTTTTTCCCTCCCCCTCCCCCTCCAAGAGCCGCTTGAACCCTGCTCGTGACAACTCGGATGATTCCCGATCTTCCACGAGAATTTCCCCTCCGCTTCACCCACATGACTTCATCTTCACCAGTAATTGACTTAGGGTCCATAGAACTGTGGTTAGAACCTCCGATAACTACTCATATGAGCCGGTAATTTGCTATTTAGCCGTCCCTTGAAAAACTATTAGATGAAATTAACTATTAATGGTTAGTTTCCTCAATTAGCAATCCAATCTGATAAGATTGATAAGATCACAAGGTCTTGTTTGTTCGTGAATCGTGGAATCGTGGAACCCAAGACATGACAGGCCCTTTCCGACCCCAGATTTTAGAAAGCAGTCCCGAACGGAAACCGCCTGTAGGTATAACGGGTCGGGTTAGGCCACTAATTGTATTAAGCCTGTTGAGGGAGGTGCAGCTACATAGCTTAATCTTCATAGCAACGGATCATAGCAACCAACAAAGCTAGTAAATACGTTCTGAGGTCAGTTGCTAATCCAGCTAGGATAAATATTCGCAGTGGTAGTGGGCAAAATACCGACCTGGTAGCGACGAAATTTCACATGCTGTGAGATAATTAACGTCGTGAATCGCATATATACATGCGTAGAGTTGCTATTGTATGCTCCTGTATCAGAGCTTCCTGAGTATCCCCTGGATCGTATATTTTGCCTGACTGGACTCAGTGATATCTGGCGAATTTGAGAATACTGTAATTAGTGAAACATAACGTATTTGGCTGCGCCTACAAGTCAATTGCATCCAGAAAGGTTTGATTTCCATATCCTGTTCTCAGACAAATAGGGCTATTATCAGATATTGAGTTAATCCAGTTAGAGATACTGCATAAATAATGTGAATTATAATTCACTGATTCGAGTCAGTCAAATCAACCAACTACGATGCAGGGGATAAGCATTCGATGCTCCTCATGCTCCAAGTGGCAGCGCAGAAATATTTGGCTCGTACTAACTTTTGTCAAAAAATAACTGGTTCTGCGGATCCAACATACCATCGTATAAGCCAGTGGCTAAACCGAGACGTCCACTAGTTTTGATGGGAGCTATAGGCAGGATTGAAGCCGTATCGCTTTGGAGAGAAAGGGGCGAAGACGATGAAATTTAAACGAAAGAGTTGAATTAGCCTTGAGCCCTTATGAAGTCGCGGAAACCTTCATAGCTGTAGTATTTGCCTGGCTTGTGTGGGGTGAACATTTTTATCAGACGTAATTAAAGGGTTAAAGGCTTATAGCGGATGGATTCCTTGCGTGAGATGCACAGACCAGGGAAAATGATTGAGAAGTGCACCTCCATACACTTATATTCAAATATCAGCGGGTGAATCTACATGTATCCATCAGCCGAGGGTTCGGGATTAACCCGGGTGACCCGAGTCTCACAGGCCATCACTCGCGTTCAAAACGATTGAATCTGATCTGATAAGATCTTTGGATAGATAGCAAACTCGGTGGTCATTTTCGCAACTTTCATAATTGCAATGATTATCGCAGTGACATAGGAATATATATATTTGTGATGTGCCTCAATAGAATGTAATTCAAGGAATGTTTTAAGTACATGTAAAACTCTAAAGCTTATCTCCAGGATGAATTATTTTGGTTGAGTGCTGATTTGCGCACGTGCCACATGCACATCCTTATGTAATGGCCATGTCCAGCGACACCGTGTTCTCTCGTGCTGAAGTTGAAACGCGAATTCAGTGGACATCCAAAAGCTTCTTTCTTTCTTTCTTTTTCTACCCCCCGCTGAGCAACGGGATAAAGTCCCAAGAATCAATTATAATTCTGGTCTCCTAACTCCTTATCATCTTCCCCCTCTCAAGGGCTTTCAACTAGAACACCAGAGTCCTTTGCTGGACCCGCTCAAGTTAATTCAAGATGCGGCTCGCCGTGTATGGAGCTGTAAGTACCTTATTTCCCTCTGCTTTACGCCACAGCAGCTAAACCATAAACCATCTAAACAACTAGACCAGCGTCATTTTGGGCGCCGGCGTCATCATCTCAGCTTTCAACCAACGCGCAAACTTCTATTCAGCCTGTGTTCACCTTGCTCAGTCCAATGCTTGTCTTATGGTCCATTTCCCTTCTTATTCACTCCATCAGATATATCTCCACGGATGACTGACTTCGCCGGTCACTTAGGTCCTTACAAATTTGTTACTCCTTCTCTCAATACTCTTCGGCCATGCTCTACAGCTTATTTTCTATGGACCTCTACGGACCCCCGAGATTGAGAATCTATACGAGAAGGCTTGGTATGCTGTGACGGAGACATGTTTGGCCATGACTATATTTCGCGACGAGTTTGATGTCCGGTTCATCGTCATGTTTGGTGTATTATTATTTATCAAGTGCTTCTGCTGGATCGGAGGAAGTAGAGTGGAATTTATGGAAACCTCACCTCCAGACAATCCGACACTCTTCCATATCCGGCTGGCCTCTTCCTTGATTCTGCTTCTTTCAGCCTGTTCAGCAATGCTTTGGCACTCTGTTTCCTCAGTTCTTGAGCGTGGGAGACCAAATATGATGGTCATGTTTGCTTTCGAATTCGCAATTCTTCTAATAACATCGCTCGGAATTACTGGTAGATACGTTCTAAGCTTGGTCGAAAAATATATCTTAAAACGGGAGGCGATGCGAAGACGTGCAGCAAGAATTCTGGAGAGGGAAGGCGCTCGCCAGAGACATGCAGACCGGGTCGCAGAGGTAACAAGAAGACGTAGAGCTGGCGATCTTGTGGAAGATGTTCCTGAGTTGGAAGAAGAAGACGAAGATGAGGAGGAATTAGATGTCGGGGGTTGGGAGGAGAAAGGAACATGGGTTTTTTACTTGGAGTTGGTTACAGGTAATTCACACAGGGAAACACTTTTGAGCTCTCCACGAACATGACTGACTCAGATCTAAATAGACCTTCTTAAGCTCCTTACTTATCTCTCATTCTTCTCGATTGTCCTAAGATATTATGGACTTCCACTCCATATCATCCGCGATGTCTACCTCACCCTCCGTTCATTTATCACCCGGATTCGAGACTTCATCCGCTATCGTCGGGCAACTGCTCACATGAACTCCCGGTACCCAGATGCAACCCCCGAAGAGGTTGAGCGCGAAGGGGTCTGTATCATATGTAGGGAAGAAATGAGAGCGTGGACTGAAGGTGGTGCTGCGGGTGAAGGTGGTAGAGCAGCCGGCACTCAAGACCAGAGATCAAGACCAAAAAAGCTTCCATGTGGGCATGTACTCCATTTTGCCTGCTTAAGAAGTTGGCTTGAAAGACAGCAAAGATGTCCTACATGTCGTAGGCCTGTACTTGACGAGCCTCTCAATGGCCCAGGTGCGCAAAACGCTGCTGCACGAGCACAAGCAAATGCCGCTGGTGGAGCAGGTCTGGCGTTTGGTGCGCAACTTGGTCCTCTAGGATTTGACATTGGTGTTGGGGGGCCTGGTTTTGTCCAAAATTTAATGGATAGAATGAACCAACAACAACAACGACCTCAACCGCAGCAAAACCAACAGAACCAGCAGAACCAGCAGCAGCAGAACCAGCAACACAATCAACAGGCGCAGTTGCAAGCACAGTTGCAGGCACAGATTCAGGCACATGCGCAGAATCAAGGTTTAGCAGACGTTGGTGCCGGTGGTGCTGGGTATACAGATCTTGCTCAGCAGATACTCAGGACTAGGCAGCTTCTTGACCGCGAAGTAGCCATGTTGGAGATGACGCAACAACAATTAAGGCAATTACGAGAATTACAGGCGCAAGCTGCAGGTATTCCGGGGGCTGGTGGTCTACAAGGCCAACAAGTCCCAGCTACCCCACTTGCTCCTGGAGCCACACCCCCCGCAGCTGCTACCAACCCATACCTAAACACCGGGAATAATCTTGAAACCAACTTACCTCCAAGAATTAGAACACCGGGCATGTCGGTTTACCATGGGGGGCCGGTATTGAACGGATCCAGTGCTACGGCGGTACTGCCTCAAGGAATGGTGCTTCCGCCGGGATGGAACGTGGTTCCCTTGACTGCCCCTAGATCTACTGCCACTGCTTTACCGATTACAACTCCAGGTGGAACAATGTCGTTAAGAGGAGCGGAATCCTTAAGAAGTCGAAGGGGGCAACAAATGTACCGGGAGCGCATGATGGATCACCACGCTAGATTGACCCCAGGAGAAGAACAGACATCTCGTTCTTCCAGACCAGCCCTTACCAGAGCAACGACCGCCCCAAGTGGACTCAGCCGCCCGCAACAGAACTGGGCAGCTCAAAGAACTAGCGGACCAGTCACGGGTGGAAATCTGAGTGAACGGTTGTCCCAAGAACAGATGGAAAGGTTAAGTCCAACAGTTCAAAGAAGTGTCGCGACTATCAGTAGACTTTTACAATGGCAATTAGAATCAGGAAGTGGCATAACAGTGCACGAAACTCTTGCTGGTCTTCCAGATGAAACCCGGGAAGAAATTCTACAGGGCTGGCCTAATAGAGATATGGCCCAGGAGCTCGCAGAGGGTGCTAGGAATGCCACCCGTTCTGAACCTGGTGCAGATATGGTGCGTTCTGTGGCGAATATTGCTAGATGGCTTGAGATATTGCCTAGAGAAGAAAGGATTCAGGTTGTGCTGGGATTTCCCGAAGGCGACTTTAGGGGATTTATAATGATGCATCATCCAGGACTCAGGGCAGAAGTAACAAGGCTGTCTACACTGCTGAGAGATATCAACGAAGAAATCACTGAGACTCCCACTACAATCTCGCCATCTGGCGTTTCTGGCATGATTGAGAGCATCTCCGACTGGACTCAGATATCACCTTTGGACGAAACAAGTTCTCGGGAAGACATTGAGAGGGTAGAACGGGAAACTCGCGAGACTGTCAATAGACGTATACAGGTCCTCAATGATATAGCCAGAATTATGAGAAATGCAGCGGGGCAACTCGAACAAGTTAGTGGGAGACGGCTTCCATCTGCGTCTTCAGCTCCTGTCAATTCAATCGACTTATCAAGACTTCCTACTCAGTTCAATACCGAGAACCAACTTTCACTATTTGGGGAAAGAAGCATCTTCAATCCCAGCGCGCAAGAGCAGGCGTTGAATGCACTGGAGCAGGAGGTTGTACAGGAGGAGAGGGAGTGGAGGTCGAAACAAGGAGTTGCAGCTGTAGAGAGTCTTTTAGGGGTTGCTGAAGGACCTACTGATGAAAAGGGTAAAGGCAAAGCAAAGCAAGAAGTGGAATTAAATGATGCCCAGGAAGGCGAAGCCTCAGTAACTCCGGAAGCACAAGGAAAGGCGCCGGTTAAGGTCACGGTAGAGGATGCTGATGATGAGTGATGCTTTCAATTGTATTTTAGCTGCTTTTTTGTTTGTCTGTTCTTCGTTCCTCTGTATGGAATGGAGTGATATTGGGCTTTATTTGCGCGGAAGATCTGTAACGTTAGTATTTTTACCATTTGGAGTTGTAGTTTCTCCACCGAATTTCCAACTGTAATGCACCTTTTTCCACTACATGTATGTACGTAGTGATCATCGATGCTTCTTTCAAAAGACTTCCGTGAGAGGATACATGAGATTATGGTCAATGGTGGTTATACAATCACTCGCGCGCGTTGATAGACCCAGCAGTAGACCCCGCGGCCCGAGAGAAAGGGACAGCTAACGCCTACACTGTGGTTAATCTTAAACTCGTTGTCATTGAATCAAAAACCATCAGGACTAACCTGATATACACCGACATGATGAGAATTGAAACTCTTGCTTGCATTATATACCCCTCTTTATTAAGGGTAGGGGATGGGGTATCTGTTCTTTTTATTTACTATCCCCGCTTCCATTTCGCGAGATATTGGCAACAAACGTTACACCTTATACTATCCCTCACTCAGATATCGAAGTAAAATCTATGATAGATATGGATGGACCTAGTAGTATACTGTGTGGTGGAGAGAGTTCATAAATGCGGGTATTTCGGGGTTTATCATGATATGAGCTGACTTATTGTGGTCTCTTTCTAATGGGTGCGATCTGTTCCTGTCCATAACTACATGTAGCTCTCAGCTCTAACTACTGTAAGCGCTTTCTTTTTTCAACCCCACAATATACCGATGGTATTCCCGGCTTCAACTCCCCCGCTTGGTCAAGCCTCTTTGAAGAGTGGTGGGCAGGGTAAAGACTATATGCCCTAGCCGTCCGCATTGACTGCATTTCTGTGCCGCCGGTAGGTCTCCCCTCTTTGTTCTCAGCAAAGGAGACAATCCCTCGGGGTTTCTTTCTCTTTGCGAAATCTACTTTACCGGTAGAATGGACGACCCAGAGATGACAGAGATTATGATCGGAGTAAAATTTAGCTGGACATACATGATGATTTTGACGTGGTAATACACCGGATATTCGATATGGATGCGGAAAAAAGAATGATCATGAAGCCTTAGGCTAGTGGGAATGACAGCCGATGTGAGGAAATGGATGTGGAGTTTAGGTCATGATGATGGTTACTAGCAACGTGGGGATTAGACAATCCAAGAAGTCCTTCTAGACAAAAGGGTAGCCATCAACCTTGGCTACTCTTTGGAGTTTAAACTCTGACAATAATTACAATATTTAGGTATGCTGAAAACCGTATGACATGTCAGAAGAATTTGGGAGTTAGGAAGGAGGTAGAGTACAAGTCCTCCCCTTGTCTCATGTCCAGCCCATAACGCAAAGCTTACCTCACACAGCACCTAGGGTTCGGCTCATGAAAGTTTCCGAGCTTTGTCAGAGCTTTCTGCAAGCTGGGTGTTTCTGAGCCCCTGATGCGCTTGAGATTTGATTAATTTTAAGTACTCAGTCAAACAGAGCACTGTGCCAAAAAGAACCTCACCTAGCCCGGAATATCTGGAACACCAAGAATTTAAGCATGCAGGCACTAGTACTAGTGTACCGTTTGACCCAACGTTTAAAAGGAAAAAGGGAAAAAAAACTAAGCCTTATAAAGTAAAGCTCGTATGAAGGATAGTTGCAGGGAATCTTCAAACCCGTATGGATACAACTTCTAGAACCACGGGCCCCACAAACAAGACAGAATATTTTGATCTGTTCACTACACAGCTTTCGGAAACTCCCGAGACCGTCAACCAGGCACAAAACTGGTTATCAATCTCTTTCTGCGTCATGCCGTAAGATGCATACGCAGATAAAGTAAGCGAACTAGGCTCTAGGTGACCCATTGGCCGGTGTACATATGGCAGCAATGAAATGATGTGAACGAGCCAATATCTGATCCTGATATCTGGTCCGCAATAGAGCATTTTAGTCCCATATTTCTACCATAATTCGGCCATATTTCTGCTGCAGAAGCCACGTGCGCTATACCATTTACGTGGAAGAAATATGGCCGAATAATGGATTACAGGGATGGACTAAAATGCTCTAATGTGCATTAAACATTTTTCCACACATCTATCCGCACGTTTGGGCTGGTGGAGCCCTTTAATCTATCTTAGAGAAGCCCAGGTACTTCTTTGTTAGGCAAAGGGTGATTCGCGATTATCGCGGCTGCGGCTGCCCACATTGGCAATACATAACGCTGCCCTACTAGAGTACATGTATGGTTTGGCTGAGAGGGTTTTACACCTTTCCCGTAAATCTAGGTTCTGCTGTTATCCCGTGGATGGAATGTCGTGCACATGTTGATCGGATCGTGATTCGTCAGCGGCCCTCGATTGTGATTGACTGGCTTAACGAGAGATGGGACGATACCGTATTGGCAGATGGGGCTATATCTGGAATTATATAGCTGCACAGCTCATATGGCACCTAAATAGTTCTTCAGAAGATAGCATCATCTCATACCACAGGTATATCTATATTCAATACTCCAAGTAATACGTAACCGCAGCTAATACCTCGTCATAGCACTCCTTTTTGAAAGCCATAATAATTTATCAAGACGTTGGATCTCTATAAATATTTACGTTCTGGTGAGATACGCCCAGAGCTGGCCACCACACCGTAACTCGATTGCGGGGTATAGTTCTCCCGGTACATCCCATCCCATTCCATGATTGCTGGAGACAGAAAATTTTCCATCAGTAGTATAACAACCAGTGAATCCTTTTGTTGTACGAATATCCCTCATGTCAGGTGGCCCTACCATCCTATCCCGCTCTCTCAAACCCTCTTGGCAAACAAAAAAAAGTGATCGGCCAGCTCAACACCATCCATCATAGGATATGATAAGGTGTTATTGTCAAAAGACGCGTATCCCGTTTTTTCACACAGATCTTGGTTTATTGGAATCATCGTGGGAATCGAAGAGGTAACGGTGTTATAGATTGGCTACTTGGTGTTTAGCTTTTTTTTTTTTTTTTTTTTGAGTGAGGAGTGGAGGGAAAGGAATAGTAGGTGGTAGGGAAAAACAGGGTATAAGTCATTCCTTACTTATTACCAGCGCCGGCAATAGACCCGTCCGCGACCGACTGCGCTGACTTCCATGGACTGGCGGGGTCGGGCGTCCTTTTTTGGTCAACTGTAGTCGGACTGTGGTCAACCACGGTCCTCAGGGTTAGGGTGATGGAAGTGACAGGAAGGGAGGACAGGGTCTTTAGGGGTGTCCCCTAAATCGCCCCCGCTTAGGCTGAAACGCGGGTGGATGCGGGGCCACTCCCCGCCGAGGGGGGCACCGGGGGGCTCCTCGCCCCCCAGAGCGATTTCGGGCATTTTAGAGCGTTTTTTTACGGGTTTTATTCATGATCTACGGATTCAGATACGGTTCTATGTACATAGTTAAGCTAGCTTAGTGTAGTTCCATATATTCTGGTGATTGAAGAACACAAAGCTAGTCCTGTCACCTTCAAAATCAGTGAGGTAATGCTCCAGTATTGCGGCTTTGAACATTATCACATCTACAGGCTTGAAATCAAGTCTTATTCTCAAGTCTGGTATGACTAGGTGACCCTTGGTGAAATTTCCGGCACATATCATCATTGTATATCCATCTTTCCTGTCACCTCTATCTCTATGAGGCCTTACCTGCTACCAATTAGTTGAGATCTTTATGCAAATAGCATGCGTGTAAGCTCACCTGTAGGTTGCGCAAGACAGCTACACCATGGAATGGAAATCTTCTGCTTGTACAGAAAAGGTCCCAGGCACCACCACGTGCTCGCATAACGCGAACCCGTGAGAGTGCACTCCAGTAGTCCTGTGGATCAATAATTTGGTAGATAAGCCCGAGAATCTGCAGGAAGGGCGCAATTTGACGAAAAAATTGTATGCAAGCTTGGTTTCTATTCAATATTAGTGAAGTTCTAGTAGCGGAAATGCGTTCATGAGCGAAATGGATACTTACTTGTAGGCGGTTTCAATTAGATTAGCGGAAATGACAGGTGCTTTTGTCTTTGCTTGACCTTGCGCAAACCACCATGCGAAATGGTAAAGCCCGCAGACACCAGGCTTCTGAATCAGACAGGTAGCCGGTTTCTCGGCGTTTTTGTGTCTTTTGTCAGTTGCAGGGGGCTTAGGTGGTTTGTAGGCAGATTGAAGCTCAAGAATTGCGGTATCAAGCTGTTTCAAAAGCTTTTCTCCAAGAACAGGCCCGAAAGGCGTTTTTGACGCATTTTTCCAGAAGATAACCAGGTTCTCCCCATCAGAGGACTTTACAGTGGTGCAGGACACTATGAGAGGCATTTTAGATGCGTGATCTTCCAAGGACTCGAGTTTTTCGAATTTGAGTTTGGGTTTGTTCAGTAGGGAAGTATAGCTGACATTGACAGTTTGGGTGTTAAAAGAGTTGTGAAATGCTTTAGAGCAGTCTCTTAAAATCCGGTTTTGTTCCGAAATTTCTGTAGTTTGAGGCAATTCTTCTTGTACCAAACACTCTGCAGAGTGCAAAAGCATTTGATAGGATTCAGCTTCGAAAAGGTCCATCACAAATCAATAGGAGGTGACCTCACAGCACCTATTGATTTTACAGAATAATATATTGGTGGCCTCACAACAATATATTATACCTGTTGAGATTGACGGTTGACGGTTGACAGTTGTAAAGAGGAGAGAGTGTCTGTGTAGATACAGTCAATTATCAAAAGGGAATAGATTGTAAAAATTTTGAGCAATAACAACAACTTGAACAACAACAACAACAACAACAACAACACTCAACGCGTCCTCAACGCGTATGGACAATGGTGAAAGAAAGACGAATAAATGAAACCCGGAAGAAAAATAAACACATAACAATTCAATCAGAGTCGGAAAATCTCAACGAAATATTCAAACCTTGATAAACTTGAAAACTGAACCGGAAGCAAAACAACAGAAAATACAAAAGCTATAGCTGAAGAAAGCCCCTTCCAAAAACCAACATAATATATTGAAAAATGGAGTCTACAGATTCAGACTCGTTAAAGAATCTCTTTCGCTTTGAACCAAGTGTTCGGTTATTTGTGCTGAATGCTCAAAGGTAATTAATCCGGCTCGGGCCCAAGATTTTTGACACTCGCCGGCTTCAATTATATTTTCATCCAATCGATTACGCAGGTCTGAGATTGCAATCTTTGCACTATTTACTACTTAGTTTATATACTGTACTTGAATGATGGATTCATACCTGCTGAAAACACGCTCGCACTCCGCAGACATCGCAGGTGTTGAAAATACGTCCAATGCAAGTATTGAAAGTCGAGGATATAACGGTCATGCCTTAATCCACCATGGGATGGGAGACCCGATTTCATGTCGGTTTTGTGATACCCAGTAGAGAAAGCGTTCAAGTTCGTCCTCCAACGACTCTAGGTTCAACCTCGGTTTCTTAAATTTTCTCAAATTTGATATAGTACTGGGATCGAGAGTCCGTTTAGGCGATTGAGGAGTGGTAATGGAAGCTCTGTGAAGTTCTATCCGCTTATAGGAAGATTCCCATAGGAGTTTTACCAACTCTTTCGCTTTAATACCCCACTCAGGTCGTGTTCCCCACCCTGACTCCATGTCGTCAAAGAAATTATCCATGTCGGGATGCAGAACAACTGACGCACATATAATAGGTGAGAGTTCGGTAAGGGAGTAATACTTTTCAAGTTTTTGAGCAGCAAGATCAAGAGAGTATCGAAGGACATCTGAACTGGCAGTCTCTTGTGTACTCGATATATGCCGCTGCAGGAACTCCAGAGAAGGGTATATATCATATAGGGAGCCTTGACTTCGGTTTCCCTCTAAAGCTAGGGTTTCATTGTGGAACGGCTTCAAGAAATCAAAGATATCTTGAAGTACAAACCAATCGGTTGGAGATAGTTGATCCTTTTCGATAGCAGATTTTGACGCAGGTGACTGGTTGATTATCTGGTGAATGTGAAAATCTAACGCATGACGCAACTTTAAAGCTCTCTCAAGTCCATCGTAATCTCCAGTCCATCTGGTGACGTTCCCCAATATCAATGATCTTGCTTGTGTTGAGTTCCCTAAAATGGTTTTGACTGATTGACAGAATTCGTCACGACACTGAGGGCTTCCATGTATCCATACTGTGATATTTCGTAGCTTACCCAATGGCCCAATCTTTCGCTACCTCTCAATTTGCGCATTGGTTCTTTCAACTAACTGTTTTTCCCCTGTACAGAGCAAATGTAAAGACTTCCTCCCATACAAGAACACTTTGACTACCAAATTTAGAACATGCCCGTAACAGCGTACATACCGGGAAGTATGTGTCGATAGAGTTTTGTTGACAATTGACTTCCTTCAGATATGGTATCTGATTGGTTATTGATTTGAGTTTGGATGAACCGTAGAGCTGTGACATTATTACTCGCATTATCCAAAGTAAAATAACCTAGAGAGTTATCGATTTGGTAGTCTTTTACAATCAACCAAACAGTACTCCCTTGATTCTCTCCACTGTGTGCACCTAATAGGCGTCGAAGTCCTAATAGACTGTGTTGCAAGATTCCTTCTTCGTTTAACCAGTATCCGACGACTCCGAGCAGAGCTAGATTATTGGGAGAGGTCCATAAATCAAAGCTAATGTGTATTGAAGATACTGAATTGCTTAAAGCTTCTTTTATACTCTGCTTATTTGCCGCAAATGATTGCTGTATCCAAGACCGTACTGTACTCGACGATTTCGGCATTGCTTTACCTAATTCCGTATAGGATGCTTGCTAAAACAGATATATATTATCAGAAACCCGTATTTGAAATTAGCTATGAATTACTTACTACTGCAGAGAGATACATGAGTAAATATTGTAACGTGGGTGAAATCGCTTGCTGGAATGAACTATTATTGGTAATTATCCATCTATCAGGGGGACTATAGGCGATAGACTGTGATGCCAAGGAATACAACCTAGGTAGTGACGTAGACGTGGACGTAGACGTAAAGGTATACTTTGACTATGGACTATGGGGTGGCTCTACCTGGTATGATAACCCGGTTGGAGCTGTAACGGAGCCATTTCAACTGTCTGGTGTATGAGTACACACAGGGCCCGGTTACATGCTGAGAGCTATTGTTAGAAGCCAGTTGCACGGTGATATGCAAGTACCGGCAGTGTGGTTAGCTACCAGCTGTTAGAGTAACTACATTCCGGGCGCTAGGAAGAGGATCTATTCATGGGAGCAATGACTGACGAGTCTATGCCTCGCCAGTGACTAGAAGACCGGCCAGAGTGAAGCTCTGATTGACCGGTGATCCTCTGTATCCTCGGTGCATTATAAGTCCGCCGAAGGGCAGGGACTATGCTAGGGAAGTCTACAATAAGCGAAAGCTCTACAGCAATGATTAAGCTTACACCTGAGCGGCAGCTCATTCATGCAGGTCCTCAGTTGTGTGGCAACCAAGGCTGCAGGTGTTACAAAGGCTTTGACTAAGGGTGGTTGCCTTGGGTATCGGAAACACCTGCTGACGCTTAGAGAAAAGCGGGGTAGCGGTGGTATTGTTTCCGGTACTGAGGGAAGGCCCACCGGAACTTAGTAAAGGAGTTAGGAGCAGAGAACAGAGGCCTTCGGAGTATAAGTACTCAGGTTCATTCCCGCCCTTCAGTCCTATTCTCTCCAGTCTTCATCAGAAAGAAAAACCAAGTTCTCATCGGTAGCAGAGCCCTTAAAGATTATTGAGTTCTAGCGATAGTATCTTTGAATAATCTGCAACCTGATTGTCTATCTTGCACGGCCGTCTTTATTCTATACAAATCTATTTCTCTTAGAAAGGACCCCCGTTACAGATAATCTTTAAGGCTCAAGTCACCTTCAGATTATTCTTCCTCTATACAAAATGTCCGCCCTCTCGGCTCCAGATGCACCCCTTCAGATTGAATGGCAGCCGGTGCCCCTCCAGCTTGATGCCACCGGGCAGACACAGCTTGTTAAGAAACCCAGGACCGCTCTACAGGCCTATATTCCCGGCTGTGAGCCTGCCTGGCAGGATACCGATGAGGTTCCCTTACAACAGTTCTTCACAGAGCTTCAGACCTACCTCCAGCATAGCTTGCAGAGTCAGTTGAACCGAGGCAGTCAGGCACTGCTCATTGTACAAGAGCGCCAGGCAGCACAGAATGCTCTGATGGCAGAAGCTCTAGAGTACATGAGGTCGGAAGTCAACTCTGTTCAGGAAGAGCTCCGGAAGTATGCAGAAAGAGATGAACTAAATGCCGATGTTGATGCCATGGAGATTGAGTGGACAAATCCGGCCACTCCACCAGACTTTGTTGCCGAGATACAGAGAGCTCTTGATGAAGGAAGGTTGGTGGTGGGTAGACCAGCAACTCCGGCACCACTTTCAGTCTCCAGGTCCTCTTCCAGAGCAGCTACCAGAACAATGCAGCGGAAGACCAGCCCCTTTGCAGCATTTCCGGTCCGATCCACTAGGAGAGTTATCCCTATTGTACAGCCAGCGGTGGGGGCTTCACCCTTACCACCTAGCCGCTTCGGTGGAACACATCCACTCCTTGGAGGAGCCGACCGATCCTTTGACTATGAAGGAGAGTTCTTCTCAGGTGCAGGCCGAGGACCTCCTAGTCCGCTAGCCAGGAACCCAGGAAGGTTTACCATGTCTGGGGCTGCTCAACCAGCAGCAACCTCACCACTGGCTAGCAACCCGGCACCAGTAGCACCTGTGGCCCCTCCTGCTGCGGCCGCTGCTCCCCCTCCACCTCAGGCACAAGGAGGAAGTGGCGGAAATCAGAACCCTCCACCTCCAGCAGCCCGTGCTCCCATCCCAGGAGATTCGGATAATTCTGACAGCTCAGACTCGGAACCAGAAGGTAATAACAGAAGAGGTTGGCGGAGATACCTTAAGAAGAAGTTGGAGAAGCAACAGAAGAATCTGTTGGCAATGATGTCCCAGCAGTATCAACCTCCGACCACCTCCCACCCTTCTACTTCCACCAGAGCTCGAGAACCAAAGGCACCACCACCATCAAAGTTCCAAGGCAAGGCGGAGCAAGTGGAAACCTTCATCCGGCAATGTGAGAATGTGTTCTCCATTGAGAGCCTGTCATTTACCTCTGAGGAGGTTAAGATCCGATATGCAGGCAACTTGATGGAAGGGGAGGCAGCGATCCGATGGTATGAGGCATACCACAATTCAATTGATCAAGCCTCCGCCAACCGCCTTGCTGGAATACCGGTGCAGTTGGATCAGAGATGGAAGCGCTGGGATTCCTTTGTGGATGCTTTTAGAGCTGCCTTCG